TGACATCATGCAGGTCTGCAGCCTCACAAACATCCATCCATGTGAGGAGTGGATACCAGCGTCTAAAAAGCCTAATCTCATATTCTTCCGTGTCGTGACGCTCGATAGGAATTGTCGGGAGCAGAATCCAGCTGCTGTCAATGCCGAGGTATGCACGCTTATCAGTGACAAGTCAGATGAGACAGATGTGATCTTCACAGTCGGGTCCGTTCTACAAGGACATAAGAGTGCATGGGGCATTTACAGCTCGCTCCTCAGGCAGAACAGTTCAAAAAGCCAGCGTGCCTTCTCCATGACCACCAGCAGCATGACGATGGAGGTGATGGCGGTGACACAGGCTTTCATGTGGCTGGGCTCACGGGACTATTCCCACATGTGTGTTTCTTTGAGCATAATCCGGCGTGTCGAGGCAGGCTGGTTACGCAGACAGTGGCTTGAGTTGTTGCTAAATTCTTCTATGTGTGCAGTTACTTTCATATTCGCCCCAGGGGGTGCAGGCGTTGTTGACAATGAGAGAGCTGATAGACTGGCAGGTGGTATATTAATTGAAGATGGCCGGCCCATGGATCATTGCCCTTAAAGAGATAGGACGTTCTGAGGATTTTGGAAACAACATGTCCACATCACTGCTAAGAATACGGGAATTGGGAGTAAAGATCGGCACATCCAAGCATGAGAAGCACACCGGAGGCACACGAAGTTTTGTTAACCAACATAGGACTGGTACTATTAACCCCACGACGCTGTTGAATATGTTGAGAGTAGAATCTGAGCGCCTATGGACGTGTCCGGAGTGCTGTGAAGATAATTTAACTCATAATTCATAACTCATAACTCGGTACACCTGAGCTAAACTAAGGCTACCATACTACCAGACACCTGAGCTAGGGTAAATATACTGGTGACTCCACGACTGGTAATCTGGTAGTCTTAGTTTCAGCTTCATAGCAAACGGGTCACTCCATTTTTGACTCCACGACTATGGTGTTTAGGGTAATCGGCAATGGAACCTAATCCAGAAGACAATGACTTTTGATTTTTTTTTCGAGGCATGAATGCAAGTCACATGATAGTAGTTGCTAGCTTCCAGGAAATCAAGCACAATTTGTCATTTCGTTTCATAAAAAATTTGAATTTTCACGACACAAGCGCCATATTTTCAGCAAGAACTCCACAGGTCTTGCGGAAAACAATAATATAAGGTGAAACTGTGAGATCAGAATAAGTTTATTAATTATGGCAGATTTTTACACCACATGTTATCTTTAAAGTTTTCGTTAAAACTATCAACAACCAACCACAGTATATAATTATATAATATTTTACATCAATCAACTCTTAGCTCTATTAATTTGTTGTACTGTAGTACTAGTAGTAGTAGTAGTACTACAGAAACTGAAAACAAAGCTCGGTAAAAGTAAAAGCTAAGAATCTAAATGAAATCTAACTACAGTACTAGTACTAATTAAATGTTTCGAAATTGAATATCATATTCAATATATTAATGCCAATGCTGTCTATTATGTGTTTATTTTGTGTACGGCAGTTATTGCAGAATAAGTAAATCATTAACTCAGTTAATAACTGTCAGCCATTGCAACAAACTATATTATCTATACTGATGTATTGTATGATAAGGTTAAGGAAAACGGGGATAATATAGTTATAGTTACTATATTATATTTATAGCATGATAAGCTTAGCATCGCTACAATGCTACAATATCAGAAAATAGAGAAGAGTTAGTAGTTTAAGTAAAATACTTAAGTTAGTATTGTTTGTTGGCAGTCACTCACAGTCACATCAACTTCAACTCACGTCATTATTATTTATTATCTTATCATTTTGCAAACATTTCAAACAAAGAATTCGATTAGAATATGGCACTACCACATTGAAAGTCCCAGTTCCTTATCCTTATGAGTTTTTCTACCTCATTATTGTATATAAAATATATATTATCTTCTTCAGTATTCCTGGTTCAAGCCAGCCCCAGCTTTTATTTTTTCTTCTTTATTCAATTTTTTTCTACAAAAACTTCAATAATTTGGCTTAGAATGGACATACAGACATGAATAAGGTACCGTCTAAAACAGCTTTTCAGTATGTATCCAGCTATGCTTTTTTTTTTCTTTTTTTATTAAAAAAATGATTTTGAAAACTTGACTATAGTGCCAACAGCCCGCTTCATTAATTGACTGCTGCAGATATCATCTGTCTCTGTGATTGTGATTGGCCTTCTCTTATCTGCCATTCTCTCTTTCTTCTTCTCTTTCATCTTTACATTCTGCCAAAATCTGCTTGTAATGCCTGTAGTTGCCACTTTTGCTGTGTAGGCAGGCTTATTGAGCCTGAGAATTAAAGACAGCTAGGGCTGTTGCCACTGACTGCAGGTTAGGATTTTATTTTATTTTTGCTCCGACATTTATTGGCTGCAAATTCCATTGAAAAGTTCTGATTGTTCATCCACTTGTTGATTTTTGTCTTGTCACAAAATTTGAGTGTTGCGTGCACATACGTTGTACAGATCTAGATTATGCTTATCTTATTTGTATGCAGACGGTTGGTTCCTTGCCTCTCCAGGCAGATATATTGTTTCTTGGAAGGAAACACCCTTAATTAGTCAACCTTTTATATGTTGGGGATAGGGGGTCTTTTACTTTTACGAAGGTCTTTTACCTTTCTAAGCACTCATTTTTCAGAGTACCAATACCTGTTATCAATAATGCATGTTATGGATAAAATAAAGAAGTATAAATTATTGAATAATGCATACAAACATCATGTGTACACAATCGTACACACTCACACACATGTATACATACTTCTACGTTCTCATACATGTGAACTCATATACAAACATGCATGATACACACACACACACACCCATCTACATACATATAGAAACATAAAACACATACATAGACATAAATGCACAAACAGAAAACACACACACACATACATTTATGGATATACATGCACATACACATTCCATGCATACACACCTATACATGCATACACACATATACAATCACATGTACAGACACCAACATATGCCCACAACCACACATTTACACTTACATAACCATATGCCCAGCCGTTTTATTAGAGGCTTAGATGTATGTTTCATGACACAATGATGTTTTACAAAGATGGGGCTGTCAATCCCACAATTCTTCAACCCCTAAACTTGAAAGGACCAGGGTGTCGCTCTTTGTCTTTCCTCTAGCATTTGACCTGAATGTCTTGGGAGGCCCTGCTAGTGCAGGTGTAGCTCTGAGTGTCATTGAGATACTCAAGCACCCTTATCTCATGTTTAAGCTGTAAGCCCAGACATTCACTAGCTCACATTCAGGTTATGGATGTCTCCTTCACAACTGATGTAATCTATTATTTGAAAACACTCATTGGGCATTTCGGAACTTACCATGAACTTGCCTGCATGGCAAGAGTTCCTTCCCCTCCCATCCATGTTGCGACTAGTCGCACAGCATATCCTATGTTGTGGGGTGTTATGAGATGGTTTTGTTTAGCGACACGAGAAAAGAGAGAACAGTTAAATCTTTGAAAATAAGGAATACATGACACTTCCGCAACATAGGACAGGCTCTGCGACCAGTTGCAGCATAAATGGGAAGGAAAGGAACTCTCTCCATTTGGGCCGGTTTGAAATAAGTACCGGCATTTTATATTATTTTCTAGAAGAAATGTTTATTTTAAAAAGGCTTTTGCTACTTTGTTATCAATTGTATGAGTTTAGAAAACCTAGCTGAGCAAGTAAATCGACAGAGCAGAGAATGCATATTTTTTTTAAAATAAAAACCATGATGATCAACAATGTATATGCAAAAAAAAAATTACTGACATCCAGGCAGATAAACAACATGTTAAAAATGATAATTGTATACTCCATTTTCCCGGTAGGTAGAAGCGTCCCGCATGATGGTGACCACATCATCCATCTTGTGCCGATTGGTCTATAAAATATAGGCTAGCCCTATACGCCTAAAGACGTGGAAAAGGGTCCTTTACTTTTTTTTTTTTTTTTTTTTAACTTATACTTAAGTCTGCTGGATAGTGCTGAGATCTGAACAGTGAACAAACAATTAGAAAAGTCTCTGAAGGATGTGAATATACAAAAAAATAGGTCGGTCGTATTTCATAGAAAAAAAAAACATTCAGATACTGAGGTTCTGAAGAGAGTAGAAGTGAAAAGAGATCTGCTGAAGGAAATTTTAAAAAATGATAAGTGAAATAGTTTGGCTTATAAAAACCATATGGGAGTAAGAAATTAAAGGCAATCTAGCAAGAGGAATGCAATATATTCTTAGAAGATTGATAAAATGCAGTCGTGAGAGTGTACATTCATGGCAAAAGATAGAGAATGTTAGAAATTGATTGCAGCCAAACTTCATTGTAGAGATGACGCCTGATCAGTAATGATACATACCTCAGCCTTCAGGGATAAACAGCTCTTCTTCTTAATGCTCTGTGGTTTGATAGTCAAATCTATCCACAACCTTTTGTCTCATGTACTTTCAGTCAACTCTGACAGATGATTCTCCATGCCATGATGTCAGACTGTCCGGCATCTGTTCTCTCGGTTTCCCTCTGCCTCTTCTTCCCTCAAAATTGTTGTAACAGAATGAGTTAAGAATTGACCTCATAACATTCAGGCATTCCCTTAAACACTTCTTCACAGGTGGCACAGTTGCAGTACTGATAATAGCAGTTGCCATCTGATTGTGTGTTTTGACTTACTTTTCCTCTGAATATTGACTGTGGACCTGATCCTCTGGTCATTACATGTGTCCTCTTTTTTACACCATAGTGATCTGTTCATGTTGTTCATTTGTTACCAAAGGGTTTTTTACCTCTTCTGCCTGTCATGCATCCACTCGTGCAGAACCAGACATTATATCAGTAGTTTCATGTAGCAAGTTGTAAATTAATTTTTCTTCAATAGATTTTTCGAGTAACCATCACAGGAAGCTACGAAAATGCCACCAACTGGTCAGCCTACGATTGATTTCAGCAACATTAGTGATGAAGATTTGTCTCAGATGTTAAAAGACTATGGAGTTTCTGTGGGACCCATCAATGGTAATGTCGTATGGAACTGAATAATGTGACCTTTTGTTTTTAAATTAGTCAGCTTTATTACTTGAGTTAGTTTGATCATTGGTCATCACAGGACATTTGTTTACTTAAATCAGCTTGCTGCCCAGTTGACAAGACATATTTATAACGTTTCTGTTTAGATAGTCTCTTTAAAATGAGAACACATTTAGGTTAGTTTCATGTTAGTCTCCCCAAATAGAGTAGGTCACTTTTTTTTCACAAGTTTGTTGGGCTGGTCGACTTTCCAGTAGGTTACAGGTGTGTCCCGCTCTGTTGTTTGAGTTCTGTGATGTCTTGCATTTACATTTTTATTCAGAGAAAGAGAATGCCTGTGACAAAGGTTGCAGCACTCTCCAGGAGGGTTGTGTTAGAACCAGTTTCTCCATGTTTTTGGAGTGTTAAGAGCGCTGGCGTGCTGAAATATGCAACACATGATACCAACGGCATTGCGAAATACCCCTGTAACCTTGTGTGCAGGTCGCGGGGCTCAGGAACTACCGATCAGAAGTGAGCTAGTGTAAAAATGAGCGGTCTGTGGAAAGACTCAGTCAGTCAGATCAGTTTTCAATTTACCTTTAATACTTGAGTCATTGATAATTGCTTTTACATTGATAAGATCCATTTATTACTTGAGTCATTGATTAATGGTTTTAAATTGGCAAGACATTAAATATTTTAGTCCTAGACCTTGATGAATGAGATGTTCAATATATGGAAGTAAGGTTAAACAGTCATGAACAGGACATGACGATTCTTGAGTTGGGCCCAGTACCAAAGCACCACGAATTGACTCTGCATTTATGCAAGCCTCCTTGGATGGCAGGGAATGTTCATGTTCTGCCCCTGCCTTCTCCTGAGGGCTGACGAGCATTATGTGGTTTCTCTTGACCGGCCTGATGTGAGGCACTTCCTGTAACCTAGGAAACAAGGATGACCACATAGTGAGACTGCAGTGTCCCACGAAAGTAACTGGGAAGGCTAACAAATGCCTGCAGAAGTTGGATGTGTTGACCAAATAGCGCAGCCATGCTGTAAACCGCACACCACAGTTACATCTTCGGATGAATACAGAAGGAGGAGAAGACATTTGATCCCGTTTGATGTCTTTAATTGACGAAAAATATTTATTACATGAATCGGCTTGATGGTTTTAAGTTAACAGGACATTTATTACTTCAGTCAGTCAGGTAAGTTTTAAATGCTTTAAATTGACAAGACATTTATTAGACAAGATATTTATTACTTGAGTCAGTCGGATGAGTTTTAAATTAACCAGACATTTATTGCTTGAGTCAACCAGATAATTTTTTAATTGACAGGGTATTTAATGTTTAAGTCAGTCAGATCAATTTTGAATTGACAAGGCATTTAATTCTTGAGTCATTCATTGATTGGTGTTTTTAAATAAGTATGAACCATTTTTTTTTTTTTTACTTAAGACAATCAGATGAGTTTTTAATTACCAAGATATTCATTACTTGAGTCTGATGAGTTTTAAATTGACAGGGCATTTAATTGACAGGTCAGTCCAATCAGTTTTGAATTGACAGGGAATTTAATTGACAAGTCAGTCAGATCAGTTTTGAATTGACAAGGCATTTAATTCTTGAGTCATTCATTGGTTGGTGTTTTTAAATAGATAAGACTCATTTTTTTTTTACTTGAGTCAATTTGCAAAGTTAATTCAGTGGTTCTCAGATGTGAAGACTGTTGGTACATTAAAAAAAAAAAAAGTAGTAACTACCATTTGACATTTAAAAAAAAAAAAAATTTTAAAACACAGCATAGACCAATAACCACAAATATATCCAAAAGTTGGATAAATGCGGTTTGAAAGTGGTCGTAATTTTACATTTTTTCCCTTTGGAAAGAATAAATGAATGAACAAACTAGGCCAGAACATGAGGTGTGGGGGCCACTTCTCTTCCTCATTGCCTTTCCTTCCGAGAAAGTTCTGGTACATAGTGCTAGACCTATATGTTTTTAGACCAGTTAGCAATCACTTGGTTGTGTAAGCATCACTGTGACTGCCTTTACTTCTTGTGACAGCTCCACATGCCTATTTAAGGCCAGGTAAGCTAATTATAAAAGTCACATTGGTGACCGGGTCAGAACAGTAGTTGGGTCTGTCCCTTTGATCACATCAACACTGCAGGAGTCCTTTTCAGGGCTCTTGGTGGCTTGCAGTCCTAAGCCATTTTGTGTGGCGCACATAACCTAGTCACGGTTATAACCTAAATCTCCCCCTTTGGGGATGCTAGTTGAATGTGATGATTTTCTTTCCAGTAAAGCACCTACCTACCAGTTATAAGTCTGCCACAATCTGGATTTGAAACCACTACCTTCAGGTTGATGGACAAACATATAGCCTCAACGTTGCTGCTATTCCTCTAACCTACTTTAATTTCTGTTTATATTTAACATTATCTGTTGGACATTTATTTAAAAAAAATAATTTTTATTGTTATTATTATACTAAGATAATTTTTGTATATGACAGCTGCTACACGGAAAACATACGAGCGCAGGCTTGTGCAACTGAAGACAGGAAAACTTCCGCCGTCTAGCCAAACGCCTGTTGATGATGATGATGAAGGTAATCTATGACACTGAAAGGCAGCCCCATGTGCCTTATTTTTTATTGTGTCTGTGGGAGGAGGGGTAACTTAAAAAATGCCCGCAGCAAGCCTGTTGTAAAAGCTGACTGATTATGGGGTTTTTCCTTCGAAATGAGAGTGCCTGTACCTAAAAATTTATTCTGCATTTATCAAATGATTTATCATATATTTAAGCATGTTTGTGTAGACAAAGATATGTGGTCACCAAGATATATTTACAGTATTAAAACCATATTGTATTAAAAGGCCACACAGAACTGTTATATAAGTGTATATATATATATATATATATAGATGCAGTTAACTCTTTCAGTCCCAAAGAATGCACCACATGTACTAGATATCACTTGTGTGCAGCAGTCAATGTTTTGTATATTTGTACATCATTAATATAGTCAGGCAAACTTAACTCTTTCAGGCCCATGAATTTTGACAGACTTGGCCCACAATAATTTCCCTTTACAAAAATGGTAGAGAGGTGGGTGTACAAGAAAGGCTATAGAGAATATATTATACTTCTAATCCTTATAGAAGTATATATTTTTTTAAAAGAGAAATGAATTTACATTTTCAATCTTATGATCAGTATTTGTTTAATTTTTTTATAGTTAGTAGGAAAGAAGAATTCAGCAGGTATTAATTTCACAAGGACAACATTTTACAAAAAAATTCTTCACTTACCATGGTTTTGCAGCCACAAGAGTAGTAAATATCCAAATTTGAGAACAAAACTTCAGAGTTTGTTTAGTTTCCTAACATATTCCAAAGTTATGATAACTTTCTGGGTTAGCTTAGCACTCAGGGGCTCTTAGTTCTCACAGAATGCTGAGCAAAATTTCAGAGAACAAAATTCCTGAAAAATGAGCCATTACACACACACTATTTACTCTGTACAGTTATTTACAGACTGTGGCTGCGATGATTTCAATGTAGCTCAGCCATAGTATAGTACATTCTATTTGCTTAGAGCACTTTCCTTCTCTTACACCATAAATAGGGTAGTATGGGACATTGTCGTGTAATAAACTCATCAGAATCGCTAGATTCTGAACAGCTGATCGCTCTGCTTCACTGGTGAAAATTCACCGTCCGAATCACTTTCCCAAAAATTTTCACTATCATTATCAAAATTAAAAACATCTGACTGAAACAATTTCAGAGCTTCGGCCGCAGAAAGACGCATTCTGCGACCTGTACTTGTGGTTGGAACATAGGTATTCATGGCACTTGAAAACAAACTTAGAAAATTCACAGTTAAAAAAATGTCACTGTTATTTCTATCAAATTACGCACGTGTTTGGATTAGGCTAGGAAATTAAACTAAAAGGATTTCGGCAGAGTAACTTTCCCTGGATAGTTTAATCGTACCTCTGAACATTATAAACTAGTTAGGGGGCGTGTGCGAAGCAAAATGTATGGGAGACATGATCGACGATGACACCGTTCTTTGGGCAAAACGGAACTTCTCAAACAACGCTCACACTGTTGCTTGGGCCTTTAAGAGTTAATTAGCCCAAGAACACAAGTGACCCACAGTGTGCTGTGTATTTGGACCCCCTTTGTAGATGCAGTATACCCATACTTTTGTTGTCATCATTAATGCATCAGCTTCTGAGACTGAAAGAGTTAAAATACTTTTCCCTTCAGGTGGCTAACCCTGAAGTTTTAATGTCCTGTAACTCAAAGAGCCCTATTCTAGCTGTCGCTCCATCAGGACAGATTCATTAGACTCCCATTCAACCTCCAAGGAAGCTGTAATTAGGTCACCAAGTACCAACCCAGTGTACCCTATGGTCCTAGAGGTCTATGCGACAAAGGTATTAAGCCAGTTTCCTTAAGCTGTGAAGGTTTCTTTTTAAAATGTTCCCACCAGTTCCTGCCCTTTTTTAGTATTAAAAGGGTAGAAAGGTTCAATACCATTCAGTCCTGTGATTGTAGGGGCATTTATTGCTAAAACATTTTCTTTGTTTTGTTTTTTTTTTTTTCTTCAGAAGTTCAGGTCAGGCAGCCGGAGCCTCAGAGAAGACAAACAAGCAATCTGTAAGTTGCTGGCTTTGATTACATCTTTTTCTGTCTTTCTTCTGCCTTAAGGAGCATAGGCCTTCAACAAACTCACACAAAGCCCTTTGTAGACTAATCTGTGTTTTGGTTGGGGGCTAGCTGTTCTCACACCAACCTCCTTTATTGCTTCTTTAGACTTATATGATAGGTTGTGTTGATACTGCTCATTGCTTTTCCTATAGGCCCACAGTTACATACTATAGTAATATAAGAATACATTGTTACTTCTGTTTATGTCTGCTTTTATTAAGCTCAACTTGAAATGTGTCCTGTTGAGACTCGCAAGCTACAGCTTGTGAGCCTTTGCCAGATCCAAGTAGGAAGAAGATTTTTAAAAAAAAAAGAATTTCAGATTCTTGAAGTTTTATTGGAAGCGGCATTTCCTACCAAGCAATAACATTTCGGCTCTCCTGTCAAATCCGGACGAAGAATAAACAGCCGTGGACGAGTTAGTCAGAGTTCTCTCCCTTGGCCGCACTCCGAACAGTAATCGGAAAACAAACGAAATAAACGACACACTTACCTATCATCCTGCGGTTGCGTGTAGGGCTGCGTACGGTTTCGTGAGGCATTGTGAATGGTTGTGTAGTCATCATCATGCGGTTGTTGGGTTAGAGTTAGGGGTAGGGTTAGGGTTAGGGGTCGGGTAGGGTTAGGGTTAGGGGTCGGGTTAGGGTTAGGGTTAGATGTTAAAATTTTGACGTAGGGTTTGGAAATAGTGGCCGACAATCTGATGTTTGTGGGCGTGGCGCCACTGGAATTCTGCTAAATATGACGCCAATAGTGTGCGGCTGGTGCCCAATCGTTGGCGAATGGTGCGTTTCACCAGCTTGCCGGGGACATAGGAACATTGGCCGCGTGCACGAGGAACACGGTTGCGTGTTCCTTATCAGACTATGCTCAGCTAGCCACCGCAACCACGCATACTTATCTGTCATTATGGCATACAGGTCTGCAGGAGTTACGTCCGTGGCAACTAAGTCGTGCGTCGGAATAACGATGTTAGTTATGTGAGTGCGTCTAACTGCCATGTTGCTTGTGTCGTTTGTTTCGTTGTGGCTTTTCCGATCACTGTTCGCAGTGCGCCCAAGGGAGAGAACTCTGACTAAGTCGTCCAAGGCTTTTTATTCTTCGTCCGGATTTGACAGGAGTACCAACATTTCCTTCTTCTCCCTTCTCAGCATTATCTTAAGCACTCTACTATTCTTAGCTAGGTAAAGTGAGGTTTAATTTGTTTTATTTTTTTTTTAATCCAATTTTTTAAAATGTATTTTAGTAGTAAGCAGTGTTGAAATTTTTTAATACAACCCTATAAGTGTATGATATATCAGTAACACTAGGAACTTTTTTTCCTGGGAAAAGATTAATTATTCTTACTACTTTATTTCCAATGTAAAGAAATGTTGGTGTAGATCCAAGGAGCTGGAGCAGATTAAGGATCTATACCCAGGTTCAAATAACAATAAATGCTAAAGATATTGAAAAAGAAACAAACTTTGAATATCTAGGCTTTATATATAATAAATAGCAGTGAAGACCGGTTGACAGAAATCATAATGAGGATGGCCATAGCAAGGCAAAGATTAAACAACAATTAAAAGTCTTTGGTTAAGCGCCATCAAGCAATCAAAATTACAATTTTGAGAGCATGCATCTTCCCTCTGGTAACATTATGGGTGTGAGTCCTCGACTATCTACCATTCCTTAAGAAAGAAAATAGGGTTTTTTGAGCTGAAATGCCATAGAAAGATTCTCAGAATGTCTTGGACAAAGAAGATGAGAAATACTGACATCTTAAAAAATCTGAACATCAAGGAAGATTGGCTAATAAATAGCATCTTATCTCAGAAGCTGAAATCTTTCGGCTATATCAAGCGCGATGATGGATTGCAAAAAAAATAGCAGAAGGCCTGGTACAAGGGACAGGGGCCGACCAGTATTCAGATGGGCACAATATATAAGTGACTCCTTGAATATGAAAGTACATGACGTGGGAAAGCTAGCAAGAGACCGAGTTTCTTTCAGGCAGACCTTGACGAGAGCGACATCCTGCAAAGGGTCTGCTTTATGATGATGACCCAGGTTCCACTATTTTAACACGTGATTTGGGGATTTTTGTCATCATCATCATCATCATCATGGCATGTTTTGTAAATAGCGTGAAGAGTCATGCCTGTTGACAGCTCCTGTTCTCTAGGATTATGTGTTCATTCTTGTGCTGGTTATCTGTCCATGCCATGATACTAGATTGTTCAGAATCTCTTCTGTTAATTTGATCAGTGGTTACCATTTGTTCCAGCTTTACCCTTTACTTATGTGGTCAGATAATGTTTACATCTGTTGAAATGCTGAGAACTCACAGTGTGAACCTACTGCCCTCCTAACAGGCATGTCAATAAAAAGCATTGGTCTGAAAGGCATAGTTGTCACAGCCTAGCTGTGTGTTAACCGCCTCTTATAGAGTGATCGCAGAAGAGGAAGAAAAGCTGAGAACATGAAATTGGATCTCTCCAGCTTAACATTATCATCATCGTTCAGGTTTCTCTGTGCATCAGAGCTGATGAATTTAGTGATGCCTGTTATGACCCAAAGTCAACGTCTGTGGCTTAAGCATTGCGAGTGCGCTTCCTAATGCCAGGGTGCGGGGTTCGGTTTTAGCTGCAGACGGTTTGTCTCGCGTTGATTTTCACAGTGGTACCGAAAGCGGACTGTTGAGAGAGCAGTGGCAAACTACTAAACATAAATAAAAATTTCCCTATAAAAACCACAACAGCAACTCACAAAAAATGCTGGGGTTGGTTCTGCAACGTCCTGTACAGGATACAGAACTAACTTTTTTGTGTGTGACTCAAGAGTCAACTAAACCATCCATCATTTGACAGTCTGTACAAGTTTCTTCAGCGTTTGCCCTTAAAAGGCCATTTGAGGCTAGTGTGATCCCAAAATGGTGCCACAGAACTGACAGGCAGTGTGCAAGTTAAAATTCATTGTTAATATAATATACTATGAAAATGTCTAGATCAGTTTCCTTTGTTAAGTCTAAATTACCATTTTCAGATCTCTTTTGTTTCTACAAATCTGCTTGCTTCTGTTAAACTGTGTCAATCATTTCACAGTCTGTGTACATTTAAATCCATTGTTAATATAATGTGCAGTGGACATGTTTCTTTTGTCTCAGAAATCAGCTGCCATCAAACTCCATCCTTTGGCTGTCATGTAACTTGAAATCTATTGTTAACATCACAAATGATGAAAATGCCTTGACCAGTTTTTGTTATGAAGTCTCACTGCCATTTTCAGGTCAGACTCGACTCAGTCTTATGCGAGTTCATTGAGAGACTCAAATTACTCCTCATCGTCATCAAAATCCTATGTGAGTTCAGTGAGAGACTCTGATTTCTCTGCATCAAGATCCTTTCCGTATTCAGAGAGGCACACAGATTTATCACCAGATGTGAGGAGTCGATCCTCATTACCAGCAGATAGACGAACACCATCCTCTTACGCACCGTCATCTTTGTACTCCACACCTGTCAAGGGGCCCACAGCCACAAAAGTGTAAGCCAATTATTGTTTTTTACATGTCAGGTGGGAATTTGTTTTTATAACTTTATACAGTGCCAGCCACCTAAGGTGATCTCATGTGTGACAAATTTCTCTTGTGAAGAGCAGTTTTTGTTTATCCCCAGCAATTTTTCCTTCTTGAACTCTTATCTGAGGAATTTCTGAAAAGGAGAACCATTTCATGAGTCCCCGGTTAGTTCTCTTTATCGGGTATACACTATGAGAACCATTTCATGAGTTGCCGGTTAGTTCTCCTTATCAGGTATGCCCTATATGTATAACAGCAAAGGCAGCATTTCTCAAAATAAAGAATGAAATAATAGAATAAAATCTGTCTTTGTCAACTGAGGTGAGGAAAAGAGTTCTTAAGAGTTAAATGGAGTCTCCCTATATTGATTCCACAGCTCCTTGAGGGGCAAGGAACCAAGTATGCTTACAAATAAGCCAGATGTATAAAATGAATGTGCATGCAAAATTCAGGTTTTGGATCGAGACCAAAGTCCAGAAGCTAACGACCAATCAGAACTTTCTGCTGGAGTTTACAGCCAGTGAGCAATAAGAGGATGAAGATAGAGCCAGTCCTGATACATGGAAGTGAATCATGGACAGTCACCAGAGGTGAAAAATTATGTGGAAGCTGCAGAGGTGTGGTTTTATCGATCAGTCAAAATACAGTGGACAAGTAAAAAGAGAAGTGAATATGTCCTGAAAGAAATCGGATTACCCACATCAGAAGGAAATGGTCTGCATTCTTTAGTCGTATTATGAGAAGAAAGCTAATGTACGTTGTGACAACATGAAAGTTGAAGAGGGAGACAAAGAGAGAAGATGCAGGATAGTTTGACATCATGGCTTGGAGGATCCCTGTGAAAGAATTGATTGAAAGTCCACAAGGCAGAAGGCTGTGGAGAGACATGACTACCAACCCCACATAGCATGGACTATAAGGAGGAGAAGAATGCTACATTTGTAGCTGGTGTTTTGTTATATGCTTTAACTCATTTAATATAAAGTAACCCACTACTTTTGTATTAGTTATTCTTTACAGGTCACGCTTCCGTATCTCCTTCTGTCCCATTCATTTACACAAGTTGTCTTGTTTAAAAGTGTTATCTTTTTAACTCTTAGGGTAGAATAAGTTTAAAGTAAAATAGTTTATGTCTGAAAGAGTCAGTGCTGTTTATCATGTAGATTAATATGGCCAGGCTCATTTGTTGTTAATTCTGAGGCCAAAGATTTCATAACGTATTTTGTCAATTTCTTCATTCTTGATTGTAATTTTTGGTGACTTAACATTCTTCCTCCCTTTCTCCCCCCCCCCCCCCCCCCCCCCCCCCCCCCCCCCCCCCCCCCCCCCCCCCCCCCCCCCCCCCCCCCTTTCACCCCCCCCCCCCCGCCGGCCCCCCCCCTTTTTTTTTGTTCCCCAGCATCCAGGAAAAATTTTCACTTTCATGTGCTACTCTTAATACAAAAGAAGCTGTTATTAAAAGTTTCAGCTAGAAACTGAGTATTGGTATAATTTCTATATCCCCAGAGTTTATTCTTCTCCTAATAGGCTATTTTGGGTTTCTTTGCATCTCTTCTTAAGTCACTAAATTATATCCTATGGCATAAAGAGGTAAAGATAGATTCTTGCATGTGCTGCCTTTTTAGGTTGTGAAGGGTTAAACCTTCATAAGTATAACCTCAAGCCACACACATTGAAAAGAGATGACCAGCTTTCTTTTCTTCCAGTTATTCTTTCCAGAAAACTCCAGTTATTTAGTATTCGTTTTACCAGCTTGGTGTTGAACCTAGTCATATTTGTCCAGGATAATTCTTCTTCACATTCACTGTCTAGCTGTAAACTCTGGAAAGTCCTTGTTTATCCACATCTGGACTATGGTCTTGTTTCAGGACTTGTGTGCTGCATGCATGTCTGTTTTTCAGGTCTGGCATATTAGGCAGGTGCACTTTGACTTCGAAGGAAACTTTTCTAATTAGTCTACTAGTGCAACATGCTTTTTAACCCCTCGCCCATATGGGTCCGCGGAACCACCACTGGAAAGCCATTTTTTTTAACACTTTAAAATTGTTCAGGTGTATTGATGCAAACATTTCTGCAGAGATCTGTTTTCTCTAGCATTTATTTAATATTTGATTAAGAAGAGAAAGAAGAATGGTTTGGCCATGAGACAGATTGGCATCAGACAGGGCACCACAGAGAGCAGTATTATACATATACAGCAGTAGCCTAGTCACAGGTAGACCACGCAGAAAATGGACCAAAAATATTGGAGACACTAAAAGGTACTTTTAACGAAGCAAAAAAACGGCCCGTTCCAGAGATCTTTTTATGCCCTGATGCCGCAAGCCATTCCAGGAGTAAAGAAGAAGAAGAACAACCTAATCATCGATGCATACATTTCTGCAAAGATCTATTCCTATAGCATTTTTTTCTTTTTGGATTAACTCTTTGAATACCAAGGAACGCATCAGACGTATAGAGGTCCAATGAACGCAAGATGCGCTAATTTTACATATCTTTTGATTACCCCTTGGGCTTCTGATGCTAAACCCCCTGGGACTCAATGAGTTAAGAAAAGAAAGAAGAATATCCTAGTCATTGATACAAACATTTCTGGGAAGATCTATTTCTATAGCATTTATTTCATATTGGATTGAGAAAAGAAAAAGGAATATTTTAGTCATTAATATTAATAACTAACATTTCTGGAAAGATCTGTTTCTGTAGCATTTATTTCATATTGGATTGAGAAGAGAAAGAATTATATCCTACTCATTGATACAAACATTTATAGAAAGATCTATTTCTGTAGCATTTATTTCTTATTGGATTGAAAAGGGAAAGAATATCCTAGTCATTAATACAAACCTTTGTGGAAAGATCTATTTCTATAGCATTTATTTCTTATTGGATTGAGAAGAGAATGATGTATGTCCTAGTCATTGAAACAAACATTTCTGCAAAGATCTATTTTTATAGCAACTATTTCTTATTAGATTAAGAAGAGAAAGAAGAATGTCCAAGTATGTCTTAACCTGTAATGCCTGTTATTTCTAGGTCTAAGGAGAAAGGTATCCCTCTGTGGTTGAAACTGGTGGCCGTGGCCATCGTGGTGATTCTGATCTACCTTATCTATATCAATATGGAACCAGCGGCAGTGAACAACATTCCTGAGATCCAAAATAAAATGGAAGTCTAGCCACAGTTGAAAGGTAAAAGGGCTCTCTTTGTGGTATTATTGTAACTCTTCTTGGTGCTTTAATAATAACTTACCCCAAACGGGGGAAATCCACAGGTCACAGGACAGTCTAATATTTCAGGGGGTGGTAGATAAGCTGCATGCAGTCGTGGGGCCTAGGCTGCATTCTCTCGCGGGACGTAGGTGGGTTGGGGTTAGGACCAGTTCTAGATGTTTTGAGGTCGTTAAAAACATCAGAAAGCTATGAAACCCAGTCTTACCACCCTCTAAAATGTTGGACTGTCCTGTGACGTCTGGGGTAGAATATTATTAAAGTAGCCTCTTCTCTTCTTTTTTGCATTCACAGGCTGTAATTTTTGGCTGTTTGTCCACTTCTGGACTTTTGTAGCAGAACTTGAGTTTTGCACGCACATCAGTTTTCCAGATCTGGTTTATTTGTATGCAGGCTGTTGGTTCCTTGCCTCTCAGGCAGATGCACTCTGACTTTAAAGGAGAATGTTGTAAATGTAATCTTGTTGCAGGTAAAACTCCTCAATAGTGTTAATTGTAAAGCAGTGGGTGGATGAATACATCTGGATTGAACATAGACATTCATGGATGGATAGTACAAACAAATTAACTATATTTTCAGAGGGTCACAGATTGGCAAACAGAGGAGAAGCTGGCCAAAGTGATTTGAATCTTCTGTAACATTATGGGATTTTTCTGTCAGGGGCAAAAATATAAATTGTTTGGATATCAGCATGCTATGGGAGTTAATTGATGAATGACAAGCTAGGTGTGGTCACAAGCTAGTCTTGGTCAAGGCCCTTTGGGAGCAAGTGAAAAACTTGGAAGTACAAATGGATCAGTACAGTGTATAGGGAATGATGCAGCAAGCAATCACCAGGGTATCTATCCACCACTCAGAGTGACAAGAGGATCTGGCCACTACTCAGAGTGACCAGGGCATCTGGCCACCACTCAGAGTGACCAGGGTATCTATCCACCACTTAGAATGACCAGGGTATCTATCCACCACTCAGAGTGACCAGGGGATCTGGCCACCACTCAGTGACCAGGGTATCTATCCACCACTCAGAGTGACCAGGTTATCTATCCACCACTTAGAGTGACCAGGGTATCTGTCCACCACTCAGAGTGACCAGGGTATCTATTCACCACTTAGAGTGACCAGGGTATCTATCCACCACTTAGAGTGACCAGGGTATCTATCCACCACTCAGAGTGGCCAGGGTATCTATCCACCACTCAGAGTGACTAGGGTATCTATCCACCACTCAGAGTGACCAGGGTATCTATCCACCACTCAGAGTGACCAGGGTATCTATCCACCACTCAGAGTGACCAAGGTATCTATGCACCACTTAGAGTGACCAGGGCATCTATCTGCCACTTAGAGTGACCAGGGTATCTATTCACCACTTAGAGTGACCAGGGTATCTATTCACCACTTAGAGTGACCAGGGTATCTATTCACCACTTAGAGAGACCAGGGTATCTATTCATCACTCAGAGAGACCAGGGTATCTATTCATCACTCAGAGAGACCAGGGTATCTATCCACCACTCAGAGACCAGGGTATCTATTCACCACTTAGAGAGACCAAGTATCTATCCACCACTCAGAGAGATCAGGGTATCTATCCACCACTTAGAGAGACCAGGGTATCTATTCACCACTCAGAGAGACCAGGGTATCTATTTACCACTCAGAGAGACCAGGGTATCTATTCACCACTTAGAGAGACCAGGGTATCTATTCACCACTTAGAGAGACCAGGGTATCTATTCACCACTTAGAGAGACCAGGGTATCTATTCACCACTTAGAGAGACCAGGGTATCTATTCACCACTTAGAGAGACCAGGGTATCTATTCACCACTCAGAGAGACCAGGGTATCAATTCACCACTCAGAGAGACCAGGGTATCTATTCACCACTTAGAGAGACCAGGGTATCTATCTACTACTCAGAGGAAAGACAAGACAGACATACAATCAGACAGTTACTGGTACCATTGGAATTCTCTGCTAGCTTCTGAAGATGAGGATGGAGCGCATATAATAATGTCCTAAGTGGTGTGATATTGGTTTTAATTCAGCTCAACTCATACTTACTATCTTGTTTTGCTTTCCCATCATTTACTTAAATTATCCTTTGTTGTTTCCAGGGCATATCTTTTACATCTGGATATCTTCAGTCATTACTCAGTTTAATAAGGAGAGCTTACAACCTGGAAATATTATTCATATAAAGTATCACAGTTAATGAACTTTTGCAAACTATTTTTAATTGTTAATTCTAAATTGTTGTTTAACTCTGTAATGGACTTCCTATAACTACACTGTTGCATGTTTTTTTTTTTTCACACATACACTAAACCCTTCATTTATTTGGGTACTTTTGATTGTAGAAGATATCTGATAGTGTGGGAAATCTGTCAGATCAAACATAGGATAAGTCTAAAAAATAGTGGGAATAAATAGAGGCTGTGGTGTGATGTTTGAGCTGCCTCACTTACCTTACGTAGAAATGAATGAATTAATCTAGACTTGAAATCATTACACTCTGGACATATACTCTGTACCACTCCTGAGAAGCAACAAAGGATTCCTACCACTCCTGAGAAGCAACAAAGGATTCCTACCACTCCTGAGAAGCAACAAAGGATTCCTACCACTCCTGAGAAGCAACAAAGGATTCCTACCACTCCTGAGAAGCAACAAACCTACCACTCTGATTAGAAGTCTGTCTTATCTTTTTCCTTGTGCACCAAAAGCCACCCAGACCCTCTGTCTTCTGTCAGCTAAATCAGTCTTTTGAAGGAATGCGTACTCTGTTAAGTTCCACTATCCACTTGATTCCAGAGAGCCTTCAAATGTTGAATTAAGATTCAACATCATAGCGTTTTGGACACTTTCATAAGTGCTCAGTCCCCATCTTCAGCAGCAAACGAAGAGTTCCAATTTTTTTAAGGAAACACTAATTAATTAGTTGCTTCCTATGGCATGCTTGTTTGGGGGCAGTGGATCTAGTTTTTATTCTCCATGTGGAGAAAACTTCTATATCTAGGGTTAACTGCATATGATCTTTTTTTTTTATAGCTATCTTGCTGTGACACTACTGCATATTGAGTTTTTGTTTCTTCCTATTTTGGATTGACGTGTCCACCATATTACCCACAGAACCAGCTATGCTTTCAACATCATTGTTGAGCATTTGAGTTTGTATTATCGTAAAGGATATATTTTCACTGATATTAAATCCATGTGTGAACATACTGACCTGTGACCTGTACAGTTTCTATATTTTTAAGTTTATTGCTTTACTGTTAAGTCAATGTATTCAAGCTGGCTTATTTTCTTGTTAGTAAGAATTTTTGTATTTTGCTTATTATGTACAGGCATACCTTAAAATTAGTTCAGGTCTCAAGTTGAGAATCAATGTAAGAAAACTCAAGGCACTCCCATACATGTCCAGTCCCCATCTCCAGCAGCAGTGCAGAGTTCCAAATACTAATGATATCAGTTGTAGTCAGACCTTCTTTTGCTTTGTTTTCCCTCAAAAGTGTGGTTGGCATGGTATGTTGTGGTTTATAGATAGCTGCAGTATCCGTGTCATTAATACATACCATCTGATATAAGAATACCCCAGGTTGGTTGTTGCCTTTTACAATATGCTTATTAGGGCGCCAGTAGGCCTAACATGGGAAAACCCTCACAAGGAAATAGAGTATATATTTATATTGCCTTTCCTCTAAGCATCAAGTCTACCAGTTCTTCTGGTCACTTCCATTTTCATCACTCTTTTTAGATCAAAGTTTCTCACTTTTTTTTTGTAATTCTTTTATTTTGGTTTCAAGGTGTCACATTTACTGCTGGTATAAAGAAGCATACTATGTTAACAAATCATTTTTGTTTGAAATGGCAGTAGTGCTGCTGCACCTCCACCCTCCTTGAAAGGGCAGCAGTTGGCCTGTTTTGTTTTACAGCTAGGCTGTGATATCTGTACCTTTCGGCTTAACACATTTGGTTTCATCAAACCAGTAGTTAGTCACCTGCTAGGGGAGCAGTGGATCTAGTCTTTCCCTCCCAGAATATCAGGTCCTGGAACCCAGTTGGAAATATGACCATACTACATTAATGCCTCATACCATTTGTTGTGATGTTGCACCGCTTTTTTTTTAAATGTACTACTAAGAAAGCTGTTTTCCCCTTTTAAGTGCCAGATTTACTATACATACTAGTTCATTTTTTATTAGGTTTAATTTTAAGTGTCTGCGGCTTAGGGGTTGTGAATGCAGTAACACAATCCTGACACAACAGGTACATGAAACAGCACTACACTGTGACATATTCCAGTACATACAATAAATTGTCACTCTAACATGTTGCGATACATACAGTAGGGCAGGAATATTCGGCCGGCGACCTTGAGCCAAATCTGGCCTGCGAAGGACTTGCAAATGGTCCAAGAATCATTGCTAGTTGTTTTATATTAATGGTCTTTCTATGCTAGGGCTCAAGTCTCTAGCCCGTGACGATTTCCATTATCAAAATGTTGGCTCCCTAAATAAACTTAGTTGAATAGCCCTGAAGGAGAGAGAGACATCTGGTAATAAGTTCCAAATTGTGCTGTTGTTTCTTCTGTAACTTTGTGTAACTCATTCTCATTACTACTGCCATTTTTTTTTTTTTTTTGTAAGCTGGATGTATAAAACACCATCAGTTGCAGTATGAAATAAATTATACAAAACAGTACATGCGATGACGTTTGGGTATTTGTTCTGTTATTTATTAATGCACTTTCTGCCTGTATGACGATCACTCGTTTTCTCTCCATCTGTATACAGTGAAACCTTACTTCTCAAAAGCCTCCCTTCTGGAACAATTCACTTTCCGTACAAAAGTCATCTTGGTTTGCGAACAGAACCGGAATCATATTCAGACCAATGACAGGGTACAACAGACTGCCAACATACTTTCCAGTTTCTCAGCAGAGGAAACACGCACAAGTCTCCCTGTAACTCAACACCTAAAGATGCTGAGCATGTAATCCAACACTGTACACTGTGTTGCTAACAGACAGGCCATCTGGCTTGTTCCATCCTTGGTGAACGCAAAGCTGTATGGTATACAGGGAGATCTGGACTGCACGATATCTTTCATCAATGCTACTGGCCTCTTTATACAAGTTTTTCTGATTAAAAAAAAATTGATGAAAAAAAACTGATTCTAGTGGAGAAAAGCATTTCAGTTTCTGAACAATTCGGTTTCCGAAAAACTTTTAAATCTGTCAGTTCCAAGCAGTTATTACTTTAACTCCTATTCCAAGGAGTTGGGCTTGAAATCAATAAAGTTCAGCAAAGTAGTTGAACTAATAATAATTTGGATACAAAGGGTTAATGTAAGAATGTCTTGATAGAAGACCTCAAGGATCTCATATTTATTATTTTTTGAACAATCAAGGAAAATATAGTGATTTTGTTTTTAATTGTTGTACCGAATAGTTATGACTTAAGTTCGAGAACTGAAGTTCCACTGTATATCTCCATCTCTCTCTCTCTCTGCCTGTAATTTGTGTGATTGTCTCTTTTTCTGTGTGTCTCTTTCTGTTTTTCATTATTTCGGTTAGTGTGTGTGTGTGACTTCTCCTTTGTCTGTCTGTATCTCAGTTTCTGTTTTTGTATGCTTTTTTCTTTTGCACATACAGCAGCTCTCTCTCTCTCTCTCTCTCTCGCTCACTCTCTCGCTCTCTCTCTCTTTGTCTCTCTCTCTCTCTGTCTCTCTCTCTTTGTCTCTCTCTCTCGACATCTATCTTTATCTGTTATGCTATGTGACCTTCCTCTCAAAAAGGAACAAAACACAAGCAGACTGACATCATCAGCATCATCATGAGTCGCATTGTTCATCTTGGGTGACATCAGAATCACTGCTATTATCCCCAAACTGTTCCTCCTCCAGATAAGAGCTAGTCAGAGTTCTGGCCTGTGAGGCGGCCATCATGGCAATGTTTTTTGTAAAGTTTAGGCTGTGTAAAGCTGACGGTAGACTGACATCAGTAATTCTTTGGCTATTTTCACCTTCATGACTTACAAACTCAGTCCTGCTGCTGACTGAAGTAATATATTTTCTCTGAGAAAGATCACTCTGTGTTTTTGAGTCCATGTCATGGTTTGAAGTGTTAGAAAAGCACTGGTCACTGAAACCACTACTGTGGTATGAGCAAGGTTGTTTACAGTAACCTGATGAGCTGTCTTTATGATGCTCGATCTCATTTCCTGAAGACTGTGATTCTTTTTCCAATGTATCAAAAGTTCTATTTTGTGTTTTCTTGTCTATCTGCACAGGAGAGAATACGCCAAGATCCTTTTCTGTTGGTTGCGTTCCATTAGATGACTTTGAATCCCCTTCTGTTGCTAGCCTTAGATTGTTTTCTATCTGCTGTTTCTGTGTATCCACAGCACATACTTGCTGCCCCTCCTCTGTAGCAAAACCATCCTCATTTTGTTTCATGATTTCACGACTCTTGACTTGAACACCATCAAATGGCTGTGCATGGATCTCCTCTTCATCTGGGATCACTTCTCCTCTTGCTCTGGCCAGTGCTCGTTCTTCTCTTGCTTTGTGAAATACGGCTCTGTGACCCACAACAGTTTGTAGTTCCTGCCTAAATCTTTTAATCGCTTCTTTGTCCTCTTGATGTTTCACCTGCAAGTGAAAAGAGAATTAATTCAGTCATCAATATATAAGTAAATTACCCTTTTGCAAGCCATCAGGCGTATTGTTCATGCAGGACTAGACCTATATTTTAAAGACCAATTAGCAATTGGTGGGTGGTGTTGTCAACATCTTGCCAGCCGCCTTTACTTCCCAGGACGCTACCTGGTACTCCTTTAAAGCTGTGTCGACCTGGGAGCCAAGGTTTTTACATCACTGTAAGCATAATAAAATCTTATCTTAACAAATTGACTGTTGTTTCATAACTCTCAGCTGCAGGTTTTGCAGTAAATGCCCTAGATCAGGGGTTCTTAACTTTCCTAATGCTGTGACACTTTAATACAATTAGCAATTGGTGGGGGGGTGATGTCAACATCTTGCCAGCCGCCTTTACTTCCCAGGACGCTATCTGGTACTCATTTAAAGCTGTGTCGACCTGGGAGCCAAGGTCATTTTTCATCACTGTAAGCATAATAAAATCTTATCTTAACAAATTGACTGTTGTTTCATAACTCTCAGCTGCAGGTTTTGCAGTAAATGCCCTAGATCAGGGGTTCTTAACTTTCCTAATGCTGTGACACTTTAATACAGTTCCTCATGTTGTGGTGACCCTTTAATACAGTTCCTCATGTTGTGGTGAGCCTTTAATACAGTTCCTCATGTTGTGGTGACTCTATAAAGTTCCTCATGTTGTGGTGACTCTAATACAGTTCCTCATGTTGTGGTGACTCTATAAAGTTCCTCATGTTGTGGTGACGCTAATACAGTTCCTCATGCTGTGGTGACGCTAATACAGTTCCTCATGTTGTGGTGACGCTAATACAGTTCCTCATGTTGTGGTGACTCTAATACAGTTCCTCATGTTGTGGTGACGCTAATACAGTTCCTCATGTTGTGGTGACGCTAATACAGTTCCTCATGTTGTGGTGACTCTAATACAGTTCCTCATGTTGTGGTGACTCTAATACAGTTCCTCATGTTGTGGTGACGCTAATACAGTTCCTCATGCTGTGACACTTTAATACAGTTTCTCATGTTGTGGTGACCACAAACCACACCAAAAATTATTTCTGTTGCTACTTCATAACTTCAGCGAATATGTGTTTTCTGATGGTCTTAAGGTAACCCCTGTGAAAGGGTCATTCGACCCCCAAAGGGGTCGTGATCCCCAGGCTGAGAACCGCTGCCCTAAATGGAAAATAACCTATGATGGTTACTAGTGTTTAGGATGCAGAGGTGCTTAACCTACAACCCACACAAAGGCACAAACGGTCCAGACCTAGCTATACCTCTCCACAGTCATGCCAGAAACAGGTTCCCAGCCTAGCCAATGCAGAAAGGATTGTTATTTCCTTCGAAGATGGAGCACATCTGTCTGAGAGGCAAGGGGAACCAACATTGTGCACATAAATAAGCCAGATATGTAAAGCAGACGCGCCTGCAATACTCAAGTCTTGGAACAAGATGAAAGTCCAGAAGTGGATGAACAACAAGGACTATCCGCCACTTTTCAGTAGATGCATGGAAAGATGGGTTACCTGGTCGCTGCATTCTACCAAGATGTCCAAATCATTTTATACTTTTGCCTGGATTATTTCTGTTGTCATATCATCACAACCTGGTGACTTCTTCAGACTATTGCTGATCATACCTCCTGCAGTGCCAGATTAAGGCATGGGCTTGAGCATAGGGGTCCCATGTTAATCTGTAGTCAACCAACTTGCCATCAATAAAAAATCTCATTCCTGTGAGTGGTTGTCATAGGGATCTCAGCACACTGGTTTGCCCAGGGCCCAGAATGTTGTTAAGATGGCTCCGGCCTCCTGTAATACATGAATGCTATTATTTGTTCCTAAGCATGGTCTCATTATAACAAAGAAATAGTTTGTAAAAAAAAAAAATGTAAAGCACCTTTTCTCACCATTGATGCAATGGCCAAATTGTTACAAGCCAATCAGAACTTGATGAGTGTAATCAACATCTTACCAGTTACCTTTACTTCCCAGGACATTTCCTGGTAATCATTTTAGGCTGGAAGCTCAAATCCATTATAAAATCTTTTTTTTTTCTCAATGCAGATTTGAACCTAAGACACTGAGGTCAACAAGCAAACATCTGGCGACTTCACTAATGCAATTCGCATAAATACAAAGAGTTATAACAGAATACCACTGACAAGTGCAGTGTTAGAAGTTAGAAGTAAAATCTCTCACTTTTTGCTCTGTACTGTATAGACGTCTTGGTGCTGGATATTCTTCTTCTTCATCTGTGTCCACAGTCGCTTCAAATACCTAGAAGGAATTATTTAATTAAAGATTACTGTGCAGTCGGAATAGTCAGTATACATTCTTCGACAGTCTCAAGCTAAGCCCAATTTCTACAACTTTTGACATGCAAAACAGAACTTTTATAATTGTTCAAAGACGGAACACAAATTTCTATAACTTCTGACTGGCTGAACACAATTCCCATAAATTCTAACAGGCTGAAGACATTTTCTACTGTTGACAAATGAACACAATTTCTTCTTCTTCCAGCTAAATGTTTTTTCTCACATTATCCTAATATGCTCTACTTTACTGCTTCCTCCTTCTTCACTATCCTCTTCACTCACCTTTTCCCCTCCTTTTTTTTCTTCCTTCTGCTCATTTTCACTCCAACCACCGAACAAATGACTTCAAGAAAAGCAGTCTTTCATTTCCAGCTTATGATTTTCCTTATAGTTTTTGATAGGAGGTTGGCTGATCCTGTATTTGTTCATGTTCACATCTGTATGGGAGCCACCATGGTGTAGCAGCTAGACGCTTGCCTGCAGAGCAGAAGGTCGTGGGTTCGGGTCCTGGTTTCCATCTTCAAAAATGACCTTGGCTCCCAGGTGGACCCAGCCTTGAGTGGGTACCAGTTATACCCCTGGGAAGTACAGCGGCCAGTATGATGTTGACCACATTATCCACCGAGTGCAGGTTGGTCTATAAAATACTTGCATAGGTCTAGCTCTATATTCACTTGTCTGAAGGTGTGGAAAAGGGTCCTTATTTTTTTTTTCACTTGTGTATTAGGCATGTTGTCCATGTTGTGACCACTGGAAAGATCTGTGGAAGGAGGGATAGAGGAAGACAACGAGAGAAGATGCTTGACAGTCTTGTTGCATGGCATGGAGGTGTGTCAGCACACGAACTGATACATGCTGCAGGAGATTGCAGATTATGGAGAGGCATGATCGCCCATGCCAATCGGCAAGGCACCTGATGACGATGATGATTAGGCATGGCTGCAGTAGCTGCCTGACCATCATGTGACCTATCAGACACACATACATCATCATCATCTTTAATCAGCAGATTCTTTACAGAACACCGCTCTCATCACAGCATGCTCTTTTCAGAACACACCTCTCGTCACAGCATGCCCGAAAGTCTCTCTGATGTACGAATGAATAACTGTATGCAAGGAGTGGATTGAAAAGTCAGACAGGCCTGCTTGTCTAATTCTTAACCTTCTGAAAAGTTTGTTCATTCATTTGTTTTTTTCTCTAGCAAATTTTCCAGCCCTATGTGCTTTACATATACATAGATCTTAAAATGTAATTTTGAATCTATAAGTATTTATATATGCATAAGTCAAGAAACTACACTATCTTCTTGTTTTTGTTGTCCATACCATATATCACTAGTACACCGGGTCATGCGGGCGTGAAGGGAAATGAGCGAGCAGACCAACTGGCAAGCACTGCACTAATGATTGCGGGGAAAAAAGTTTTGGACAGAGCAGACATAGTCCAACGCTGTACGAAACTGGGCTAGTGGAGAATGAGGAATCCCTGACACTAACACGATTGCGTGACATGGGAGTTAAGCATGGTGATGCACGTCTTTGCCGTCTTCGAGGCCGAGAAAGGAGACAATATAACCAGCTTCTCATGGGGACAATTAGTAGAAGTACTTTAGAGTGGCTGCTGCTTCGGAGAACTGAGCACGCATGGGTATGCCCTAATGTGCAGTGACATTAATTGTGATAACAGAACATAAAATAACAACTTAGTAGGGAGTCGGCAGTACGAAACCCAAGTTCAAGGTGTCTCCTTCGTGCCAAAGAACTGCATGGCTGTTGGGTGAACAGTCGTTAACGATGGCAGGCAGGTCGTTGTAGGGGCGACGCCTGCTGGTGGATGTAATGTCCTAAGTCCCTTCCCCAGCTAATAATGAGGGTACTGCTGGGGTGACCGTTTATTAACCCTCATATAATTCTTCCGGTCAAAATGGACGCTAGGTACGGCCACCCCCTTTTTTTTTTTTTTTTTTTTAAAGCCGTGGCAAATATTTTTTTTTTCCAGACGGTGGCCGTTGCATTTTTGCTCCATTTGTAGACTGGAAGGATGTAGTTTCGTCGCCCAGCTTCTGAGTTGAGTGCATGGCGTGACACTGTGAGCTGCGTTTGTTTTTCGTTGGCACAGGAGCGGAGCATATGTGGGGTGACCCGTTTGCTATGAAGCTGAAACTAGGATTACCAGATTACCAGATATATCACTAGTAGTCCAGCATCTCTCCCTTGTTTCCCCTGCAACTTCCCCATTGTCATGATATACTCCAGTTTTCTCTTTCTCACACAGTGAATACAGAATTGAGACTGCCTCCTTCTTCTTCTCTGTTCACTGGCTGTAGGCTCCGGTGGTAAGTCCTGGTTGTTCACCCATCTGGTCTTTGGCTTTGTGCCAGGACATGAGCTTTGCATGTACATCCATTTTACTGGTTTATTTGTCTGTAGTTTTTTTTTCCTTGCCTCTTGGTCAGATATACTCTCATTTAAAAGTGCCCACTCCTTCTGATGTGGGTAATCAATTCTCTTCTGAAGTTTATTTCTTTCAAAACGTCACTGCACTTTTTTTACACTGTATACTCACCAACAGGAAACTAAGTCGCACAGTGGCTACTTGCTGGCCCGAAGGTCTTGGGTTAAAACTTGTATCAGATCCATTTTTTTTTTCTTTAAACTGAATTTAGTTCTCAAGTCACCCCGGCCTAAAAGTGGTACCCGACAAAGACTTGGGAAGTAAAGGTGACCAGCGTGGCTGACCACATCACCAGTAGCAACTATCAAAATATGAGTCTGGCATAACATGCCAGATGTGCAACTGGCCTAAAAAGGGTCCTGTATTTACTGGCAAATAACCAAACCTCACCTGGTCAACAATAACTGGATCTTCTGCTGGAACCACAACCACTTTTGTCTGTGACGACTGGGTCACATCACGGTTTGCCTCCTTGACAAAACCATTTGTTGTTCTGTCTGCTGAGTTTAGGAAAATTGTGTTAACTTTGCTGCTGTAAACACTTATATGTGTAACATACAAAAAACAAAACAAAACAAAACTTAAACCTTTTGCCCTGGGAATGTTAAATAAAAATTTAAAAAAAACTGGGTCATGACCCACAGAAATTCCCCAAAAAAATCCTTATAAAAACAACAATTTTACAAAAGTCACTAACAAACTGAGTACATTAATCAAATAAGCCACTAAGTTTAGGGAATGCTTACAGCAGCTATGGAATCACAGTGGTTAGTACACTAGCCACTTAACATAGTGGTACAGGCTCAGATCAAAGCTGAGGCACAATTATTCTAACCAGGGTCAACCCAGCCTTGTTAAAATGTGTACGTGAGAATTTTTAGATTTTACAGAGACTTGTCTGGAAAGGTAAACAAAAACTGGTCCCTACAGCTCTTTATCCATAACCAGCACAAGACTTTCTCACTCAGCAGTGGGGCCCAAATGTTTACAGTGCCAGAGTTCTCAACTGTCCTTTCATTTTGAACTGTTTAACCACATCATATGTGAAATTTGTATTTTGGCCTTTTTTTTTACCTATACGGCAAATGGTCTCACAGCATAACCAACCTTCTTGTGCCATAACTCTTTCTCCACCTTGATATGTGAAATTAAAAGTATGAAGTTTTTCAGTGTTTTTGTTTGAATTTCAATTTATTAGTTATTGTTCAACTCATCTGGTCCCAAACAATGCGTCATGTGTGATCAGGTATTGCCCATGTGTACTAAATAATGAATGGCTAGCTTTTAGCCTAATCATACTATAGAAATTTAGCTAGTAATTCAAATGCCTAACTCGGAGTATATCTGCTGCATATGTTTGAAAGTTAGGCTCTGACACTTTGTTTATGTTAACTGTAATTATTGATACATTAGGAAAGTCAGTCTAAATATCCTGGTACTTAACTCATTGAGTCCCAGGGGGTTTAGCATCAGAGGCCCAAGGGGTGGTCAAGAGAGACGTAAAATCGGCGCATCGTGCGTTCATTGGGTCTCTAGGTAGGAACCTATGAACGTTGGATGCGTTCCTTGGGACTCAAAGGGTTAAAGAGTTAATGTCCTCAATTTTTTTTTAATAAACTTAAAAATTATATTTGAAAGAAAAGATAAGCTTGTACTCATCATTTGGGAACAGTTCATTTTACCTGTATCTGCCTTTTGACAAAGATGCTTCACACTTTCTTCATAACAGCCTTTACAAGACTCCAGGCTTGACTTAATTCTCTTCAGTGTGTCTTCCCACACTGCCTTATCCTCTTCACTGATACTCCTGATCTCTATACCGGTTCCTTCATCTTCACCTGCTAGCCTTTGCTGTTCCTTGTCAACTCTGTCTTCAAGCTTTATTGCTAGATTTCTAGTTCTGCAAAACAAATACATGCAAAAAAATAAGAATAAGAAACTTGTGAGGATCCAAAGGTGCAGGACTGGAATACCTCCATGAGACTGAAAGGACCTCACAGGAAAGAATGGAATGGAGTACTAGACTGTGAGCCATAAGTTATGTTTAATGGCAACACAGGATGATTCACGATCAAAACAAATGTTCCAACAAGCAAGTCACTAAATATTCACTATCTCCAGTTCTGCACAAATAAAGTCTTAATACATCATTTGTTTCAGTATGAGATGTTTAGAAAGACAATGCTCAACACAGTACTACTATGAAATGCATAATCAAGATGTATAACTAGAGGATTACTGTTTAAAAAAATTCTTCTTCTGCCTTTCTATCCCCCAATGGAGCATAGGTCCTCAACCAACATGTGCCAAGTCATTCTATCTTTTGCTATCGCATGCAGTTTTTCCCATGTCCTCCCCATCTTTTTTAACTTCTTTCTCCAGCTCCCTTTTCCATGTGTTTTTTGGCCTTCCTTTATTCTTATTATACTTTTGATTATGTTTTCCCATCAGGTTTAAGGCATGCAAGTTTGCTAAGCATCACTGTTTTGCACAGAGACCATACACATGCTTTTGCTAACACAAATACATATATATACCCCCCCCCCTCTCTCCTTTTTTGTTTTTGCTACTGAGTCCATTAAAGTAAAGGAACCTTTAATATGCCTTCAGGCATATAGGGCTAGACCTATATTTCAGAGACCAATCGGCACTCAACTGGTGATATGGTCAGCACCAGGCCGGGTTGCTGAGTCCACAAACGGGATAAATTACTTTGAAAAGAGTATTATTTTTAAATGCAATGCATTTGTTTTGCTAAGAACCAAGTACACACTGACTGTTACGCTACCTCAGCACAGTCCTAAGGCAAATACTTAAAACAAGGTGCATTCTCATAACCAAAGCCAATAAACTGATGTACTTACAATTGTAGCAATGACTGTAAATGAAGATCAAGGCTATTTACACAAACATACAGGTTGTAAATCTGACTCTGACCCAACAGCCTTGACCTCTGCACTTTTCTTGGAGCTGTGGTTTCGTCAGATTTATGGAATGCTCTGTAGAATTTGTATGATTGCTTCAGTAAAGTTGTCGCGCTTTTGACTGCTTTTCCAGACATTTCAGTGCATTCCCTTGTGGCCTCATATGGGTTAACTGTTTTGTCTAGTGAAAATTTTGAGAAAAAAAAATTTGTTTTTAAAACTTTTTTCTTCCTTGCATGTGCCACTATTTAGGGTGATGTGGAGAGGAGAGGGGGGAGAATTGTTTGCAAGTGAGTGTGTGTGTGTGTGTGTGTGTACATGACAGAATATGGTGGGTGTGTATAAGAATGTGAGTGTGTATTAGTATGCACATGGCTATGCTTTTGTGAGTGTGTCTGTATGTACGAGTGTGTCGATGATGGGAGTATATGTATGGGTTTTTGTGATTGTATGAGTGGGGGAGGGCGGGGGGTGAGATGGGTGTGGGTGTGTCCATGCGTGCGTGTATTCATTAATGTGCGAGTCAGTATGGACGTATTTGTATTTAGAATGTGTGTTTAAATATGTGTGTGTGTCTGTGTATATATAATGTACTTATATGTGGGCTACATATGTGTATGGTGTAAATGTTACATGTTTTTATACATGTATTTATGTCGCATGTATGAGTATGTATGTATGTTTGTATACATGTGGGCAAGTTTGTATAAGTTTATATTTGAATGTATGTATTTACCTTGTATGTTTTTGTGCATTCTACTCAATACTCACAGTACATACACTGTTATAAAAATGCTTTTTATATATATAGATAACCTGCTTTAGAGATCAAATATAACTGCAGTATGAAAAATCAATGCCTAGAAGAGCCTGCATGCCCTATCTGTGAGTTCACTTGTTCGTTCCAGACTGCGATTATTAAGATATTTATGTTTGCTCAACAAACCCATCTCCATCACCTTATCAAGGATCGAACCCAGGTCTCATGAGAGCCTAGCATTCTAACCATTTAGCCAGCCGTTCCTCCTTGTGAAGATACATGTAAACATAAAAACAACACTGTTCTTTTAATATAATTACATGAAAGCTGCAGAGCTGTGTGTTACTTTAGAGATGAACTGTAAAAACACAGTGGACACAGTGAAAAACATTACTTGGTAAAACTACAATTTTCCAGGTTCCAGGAATGTAACCCTTTCAGTCCCAGGAAACACTTCTTGGTTACAACCCAGCGGCCCAATCAACACATGACCAGTGAAGCTTTTTAGTTTACCACTGACCAGTAAAATTACATAATAAAACGTGGACCGCTCAATTTCAACTTGCTTTTGAGTTCTTTGTGTTTGATATCAGGCGTACTGACCATAAGTTCATTTGTAAACATAGTTAAAAGCAAAAAATATAGTATATTTGCGCGTTTTACTGAGTTACTATGTGTTTGTCTGAAAACAATATGGCTACCCAGCAGTATTCTACATGTATGCCTATATGACATGATATACGGCATACAAAGCCTCATTTTGAACAAAGCATGTGTTTATTAGATTTATCTGAAGTTAGATAAATAAGGTTGCAAAGTAGACTTGTTTCAGTCACTTATAAAGTCAAACTATAACAAGGCATAGCTCTAATGTGTACCTCATGCGAAGGGCACAACAATAACAAATTCAGCTGGCACAAATAGAATAAATATTAGTGAAAAGGCAATTTTCTTCAGTGTCAGTTAATGCTAGTGCTATTCCCCTTATTGTTTAGGAACATAAGCTACAGGCAAATTGAATGTTATATAAACTTCCATTTGTGTGAAGATACTAAGTGTTTTGGGAAGTCAGTCCTCTTTACCAAATAATGATGCTCTGTTATGATGCTTCGAAAGATTATCTGGAACAAGATCTAATGTACAAATTGAGTTTTTTTTTTTACTTATACATTACTAGGTGGTTCATGTTCATTTGTGATTCATTCTGGATATATTTTAACAAGTTTTCATTGAGCGCCACTGTTGTTCTTTCTGGCCAAAAGTTTTGCCTTAATGTGTCAAATTCGGTGCAGTCCTGGAGTACATGCTCGGCTGTCTGGGGCACCTTTCCACAGGTGCACATGGCTGATACGCCTATCTTAAATATTTTGTACATGTGGTTACAAAAAAAACTCATTTCAACAAATGACAGTTACCTCTGAGGTTTTCAGGACAGAAACACAAGGCTAGTCTTCTGACTAATCCAGAAAGGTAAACACTCAGTAATCCCACAGATCTCTGTCAACAAATAAAGACTCAAAATCTGACAACCAGTCTGCCTGCTTATTCTGTATAAAAAGATAACAGTAGAGCTAACACTACAGCAGATACTGCTGTAGCAGTGCACTGGCAACACATATAACTGGTAAGGTGATATAAATTCTTTTAATCCATCTCTTCTGGCTGGATACCCTTGGGTCTGGGAAGCCATGGTAATGTAATGGCTAGATGCTTGCCTGCAAGTGCAAAAGTCTAGGGTTTAAATCTGCAACAAGGTGGAATTTTGTAAAAATGACTTTGGCTCCCAGGTCTGTACAAACTAAGACTGCTTCAAGTAATATCCTGGAAGTAAAGTAAAGGCGCTATGTTACTATATCACCCATCATGTGCTGACTGGCATTATATGCCTGATTTAGGTGACAATTGTCAGGGGTCGAGAGGCAGATGGCAAGGTCAGAGCATGAGTTTATAAAGGTCATTCAACTTGCACTGACTGACGTGCTACTTTGTACTTCTCATATTAACCTCCAACACCATGGGCTTGATAACACCAAGAGTTCATTGTTGATACACTGAAAGCATATTAACACTGCAATCATGGCCATGACAACACGAACAAACTATCAAAATGTGGTCACAATCCACATGAGAACATCTGATGTAGATACAACATACCGAGCTCTGTTACATTTACTTTTATTATTCTATCATTTCTACATCATTCTAAATAATTCAACATATTATCTAAAGCTATCTAACTCAATAACTAAAACCATTATCATGCGGCATGGCCACACTACAACTGTCCAGACCGTCCGTTAGGACATCAAGTAGACCACTGTTCACAGCCAGTTCACAACACGAGCTCACTTTTCCTTTCTTCAGGTAGTTAGTTCACTTTGCTTCTGTGGCCCGTGTACACATCATGACAATCACATGTTTAGTGCTTTGACAGCAGTCCAACATTCCCCTTATTTCCACCCCTACCCCGAACATGACAAGACCAACAAAAAAAAAAACCAAAAAGCATAGAGAAGGGAGCTAGAGAGTGAAGTTAAAAAGATGGGAAGGACATGGGGAGAGCTGCAGGCGGTAGCAAAGGATATAACGACTTGGCGTGAGTTAGTTAAGAGCCTATGCTCCAGTGGGGGACTAGAAGACAGAAGAAGAAGGCTATGGGCAAATTAGGATGTAAGCTTTGAATAAGCCATTTTTTCATAAACAATTTTTTCCTCAAGCTGTTTTAAGTTAATAGTCATAACCGGAGTGAAGTTAAAAAGATGGGAAGGACATGGGGAGAGCTGCAGGCGATAGCAAAGGATATAACGACTTGGCGTGAGTTAGTTAAGAGCCTATGCTCCAGTGGGGGACTAGAAGACAGAAGAAGAAAGCTATGGGCAAATTAGGATGTAAGCTTTGAGTAAGCCATTTTTTCATAAACAATTTTTTCCTAAAGCTGTTTTTAGTTAATAGTCATAACCGAGGCTTCCTAAGCATTGATCAGGTGCAAACTCAGCCCAATGTCGTTAACCAGGTTTCTCAGTAACAAGTCACTGCAGACATGCCAGTTAACTCTTTGAGTCCCAAGGGGTTTAGCATCAAAGGCCCAAGAGGTAGTCAAAAGAGATGTAAAATCGGCACATCTTGCCTTTATTGGGTCTCTAGGAAAGAACCTATGAACGTATGATGCGTTCCATGGGACTCAAAGAGTTAAGCAGCACTTACAGGGACTGGGAAGGGATGGAAGTACCAGGTTTGTGACATTGGGGGGAGGGGGGGGGGGGGCAAAGAGTTGAAAGGGCAGTTGGCATGCTGTGTTGTGACTTACAGCTAACTGTGAGTTTACACGTGTCAACCTATTACATCTAATTTCACCAAATTCCTAATTAGCCACTGTAAACTGTTGGGGGTAGCGCATATATTCTTTTTTTTTTTCTTCTCCAAAATGTGAGGGCACTCTTTTAACCCTGTCACCCCTCAGTTGAGTTGAGTCAAGAATTGACATCACAGCACTCAGGCCATTCCCATATGTGCTCCATCCCCATTTTCAGCAGCCAGAGCAGAGTTCCAATACTAATAGTGCCAGTCGTTGTCTGGTTGAATGTCTGTCTTGTCTTTCTTCTGAGCGGAGAAAGCCGGCCGAACCCTCTGGTCACATCCAAGTGCATCATTTTCTCCAGCCCATAATAATCTAGTTTCTCTTCTGACTTCGTTACTTATTCCCAAAGGGCTCTGACCACATCTGACTTGTCATCATGTATCAATTCACCACCCATTGGTCAGATTCAGCCAATCTGTCTGCCTGTTCATTCCTCACCACACTGGCATCGCATGACACCCCGACTCAACAGACCCCAGTTTCTGGGCTTTTTTTTCTTAGAAAGAAGCCCCAGAAACTTAAAATAAGTCAGGATTCTGCGATAGTTTCCGGTAAAGATCACTTAAAAAAATTTGTAAAAAGAACAATATGAAACAAGTAATAAAGAAATCTTAAAAAACACACATTTACCTACATTTAAAACAAATACTGAAATATATTAAGAAAGTAAAACACAACTGGAATGAAGCACTAAATGGAATAGATTTTCCCAAACCCAAACCAATATGTACTGGGTGACTCCTACCATGACCCAGTGACCTCAGCAGAATTGTAACACTAAGTGTACAGACAAATCATGATGTCAAATTGATTTTTTAAAAGCTATTTGTTCAGATGAAAAACCTCCTAAATGACCTGACCTGACCTTCTAAATATTGTGCAGGTGCAAACACAGCCAATGGTAATAACTAGACTTCTCTGTGACAAGTCACTGCACCTATGCCGGGAAAGCAGCATTTATGGGGATTGGGAACAGAAAGTAATGACTGGTCTGTAGTTTCTCGGGATAACTTTTCAGTACCAGAGAGCTGTTACTGCAGTATAACACTTTCAAACTCAGAGCTTGTGTATCAATAGTCTTTGGGTAACTGTGAACCAAAATAGTAAAAATTGGAACATAATTAATTCAAGTAGCCACTGCAGTAAAAAGAAGAACATAAAAGAAGAATGGAACCCAAAAAAAGTTGGTCAATGTATAGCCAGAGTATTGAATAAAAGTAGGCTGAGTTGCCTAGAAGTGAACCAGCCACAAATAACAGGCTAACTTACACTCAGTTCTGATGCAGAGATGGGTCTAAGCTGTGCTTCCATGTCAATCTCTGCACTGACATCACCTTCAGTTCGCTGATCACAGTCAGCACCATCTGCACTTCCAACATCCGCTAAGTGTCTATGAGAATCGGCTGTGATATTTTGACTGCCTCCACTTTTCTCCAAATCCTCCAATGTGCTAAAATCATAGTCTGCACATATCATTGGAATGCTGTCAGCATGTAAGAAAAATAATGTACAGACCCAGCCTAATTTAAGGAAAATAAATTACACACTTTTCTTCTTCTTAACGGTCCATGCTCTGTAGCACTGGTAGTCATGTGTATCCACAACCTTCTGTTCTCATGCACTTTCAATCAGTTCGGAAACACAGATGATATTCCATGCCATGATGTCAAACTGAGCAGCACTTTCTCTCATGGACTCTCCCTGCCTCTTTTCCCCTCCAACTTTCCCACTATCACGACATAATCCAGTTTTTTCCTTCTCATAACATGACTTCTTCTGTTGTGGGTTATCTATTTGTGGGTCAATTACATAGATGAAAAAGAAAAAAAACAACAGCAATGCTTCCATTTTCATACCCTTAGGCATATGGTGCTAAATACCATCAGCTTCTGATGGGTGCTGTGGTCAATATCATGCCAACTGCCTTTACTTCCCTTGGAATTTCTTGAACCCATTTGTGTGTGTCAGTATAGAAATGAAAGATGGCCAACCATGACTGCCTTTGCTTATCAGCACAGATCATGGTAATGATTTGTCTTTACTAATCTAAGGTAATTATTTTCCTTATGTTATCTCAGGTAAAATGTACACAGTTTATTTGTCGCATTTTATAATGAAAGACACACATTGCAAGGATACCCTCTCAACATTTTCCCCACCGATTTCTTAATTTCTTGTGTGATGAGCATGTTCTGTGAAAACATGACCTCTCTCAAGGCAGGACACAGCTGATCTAAAGAAGAAGAGGCATTCATCTGACTACTGTGGGAAGCCACATAATGTTGACTTGCACTGTGATTGACAAGAAGAAAAAAAAGAATAATGGCACAAGCAAGTCATTATAACAGTTATGCAGACCCGACCTTTTTTTCTTTCTTAATAACCACTGTATGTGTATTGCTATGAACATAGAATGCTTTAATGATAAGATACAAGGTCCGACAATTAAGTAATGAGACTAATTTTATTATGGCCAAGACACAAATGCCATCTTTGAAGCAAAGCATGGAATCTAAAGAGGCAACATTCATCTATGATCTAGCAACATTTCATCGCCGCTTGATAAGCAGACAACAAACAAGAAACTATTTTGTTGACCTAGTCAGAGGTGCATTGTTACGTAATCAGCACGAAGCAAAAAGCTAACATTAAATTCTTTTTAAAACTCAGAAAAGCGCTATTGAAACAGTTGAATCGATGCAACAAGTTTAAGGGAATAACTGTTTATCTCATGCACAAGTTTTCAGGTGGTATTCATGATTAAAAAGTGGTTTGGAAATGATTACTAATGCACCTAGACCTGGATGCCAATTTTATGTTCATAAGAACACATTGCAAATGTCAGAGAAGATAATATTTTTACTGTGAGGATGATGGCAGATGAATCTGGTGTTAATAGAGAGATCATTCATAACATTTAAGAGCAAGATTGTGGCCCAAAAAAAGTTGCTTGCCCGTTTGTACCACATTCGTTGTCTGATAACCAAAAACATCAGCGAGTTGAATACCCAAAAGACATCATCAAAACAAGAATTTTTGCCCCCAAAACAAGTGTCTGTTCTTATCCTTCCCTGTAATTATTTTATATTCCCAAAATTAAAGTTACCATTGAAAGGACGCTTCTCTAACGATATTGATGACATCCAAGGGGTCATTACTGTCGACTTTAAGGGCCATAACAATAGAAGAACTACAGAGGTCATTCCAGTGTTTGTTAGATTGTGCCACTTGCTGTATCAATGCATAAGGAGCTTACTTTGAATCAGATACAGGTTATATCTTCAACTGTCGATTATTTTGATTTTTATAAAATTAGTCTCATTACTTAATTGTCGGACATTGTACAAATGTTGTGTGAATAATTAGTATTTTATTCATTTGTCCTCTCCCTCCTCTCTCTCTCTCTCTCTCTCTTTTATCTAACTAATAGACACACACAAATTTATAAACACAGAGAGAGGAGAGAGAGAGAGATAAGAAAGAAAACAGAGAGAGAAAAGGTTCAGTCAAGTGAAGAATGGAACATATGGCTTTTTAAAGAAGTCCTCAACTTCGAGGATTCAGACCTTGAATAAAATAACACTAAATTGCCTTTTTATAATCATCTCTTATACTAAATAGTAGCCTTTGAGCTAAATGCTATAGAAAGATTCTCAGAATACCATGGACAAAGAAGAAAAGAAATAGTGACATCCTAAATTATCTGAATATCAAGGATGACTGGCTAATAAATAGCATCTTGTCTCAGAAACTATTTTGGCCATATCAAGTGCTATGGCAAACTGAAAAAAAAAATAATAGCCAAGGGTATGGTACTAGGAAGAAGGGACAGATCAGCATGAAGACTTGCAAAGGATATTAGTGACTCCTTGGGTAGAAAAGTGCATGAGGTGGGAGAGCTAGCAATAGAGTTTCTCTAAGGCAGACTGTGATGAAAGCAACATTCTGCAAAAGACCTGCTAAATAATGATAATGATTTGGTACAGATTTGATCCTAACACCTTCAGGGCAAGCAGGTTAGCATCTAGCTACTTCACTAACATGGCTCCCCCAAGTACACTAAACACACAACAAAAAGCATATCTCACATTGTAAAACCTCTTGCGACCAATTCAGATTCTTTAACAAGTCTTAAGCATTTTCTTTCTAGCTGCAGCAATTCCACAGATGCCATCACCACATCTTTAATGGCTTTGTCTTGCTTTTCCATTTGAGAGAGAATCTGTGATGAAAGAACAACACAGCTGTCAGTACCATAACATTTTTAAAGAAAAAAGATATCTTTTCTTTTTCTTCTTCTGTGTTTAAAAAAAGGGAAGCTGGCATTTTGTGTTGTGATTTACAGCTAGGCTGTGATATCTGAGCCACTCAAGACTCAGAGGAAAAGCAAGATTATTTAATCAGATGACAATAGCATCAGTTATGAAGACTCATCACCGGCTGCTGAGGGAGGATATGGAGCTAATATGGGCTTATCCTGAGTGCTGTCAAGTTGACTTTTTACCCACATTCATTAGCAAACCACATTCAATTTCAGCTAACTGCTAATTAGCTGTCTTTTACAACATACTCGTTAGGGAGACAGTCCCGAACACAACATATCAAGGCAAACATTTTGACCAAGAGAAATACCAGTGCAAGCCAAACTTTATGGGTCGCTGATTGAATTACAAAAGACAGTAAAGTTAATACTACAGACAACACTGCAGTTATAGATAATCTGTTTCAAACAAACAAAAGAAAAAGAAGAAGAAGAATGGAGACAGTGGGTTGTTTTTTCCCCCCTTAAATGCCCCCCCCCCCCCCCCAACCCACATGGGGAAAATAATACATCAACATCTTTCTTATCATTATGATTGTTTTACATACAGATATACTATAGGAAAGAGAAATGAGAAATTAGACCAGTTAGAAAAGGTTTTACACCATCTTCATATTTAAGAATTTTGAATTAATGAAGTAACAGAAAGTGTACTGATTGGCACTCATAGAAAGAAGTAGAAATATAGAAGAACACAAAAGGCCTCAAAGGTTTGCCCTCTTTTTATTTATAGGAATGACGTATACACACCGGAACCTACCAATCAAATACCTTTCTTAAATGTTTGTGTATTATAGACAAAGCATTCAGGTCTACTGTGTTCGTAAATTGTTGCTGTGATTGTTATTCGACATATGCTTCATTAATATAAATTTCTGTAACCTATGGTGCCATTTCAATTTGAAATGAATTCTGTCCGTATTCCATAGTTGTGGATTTCAAGCTGTACGATAGACATGGCCAATAAGACACCTTTTTTTGGGGGTGCCTGGTTGACCATGTTTTTAGTGCACTTGTATTCATGGCGAGACGCACACGCCGTCTAGAGGTGACAGGTTCAATTCCCGGCACGGTAACTATAGCTTTTGATTTTTATGTTGTCTAGTGTGTTCTTCTATCTTTCTACTTTTTTCTATGAGTACCGATCAATACCCTTTCTGTTACTTGATTAATTCAAAATATTTAACGGCCTCAAAGGTTCCCCCTCTGTTTATTTATAGGAATGTCATATATAAGAGTAGATTGAATCTCTTTAATAATCATCATTAATCCATTCCAGAGTCGAGGACGAATATAAGATGGACGAAAATCAATTGAACATTTACCACAGGAATTCACTAAAATTGGTTAAATTTTTGTCGAGCCCCGAATTTGGCCTATCTATTTTTTAAAGAAGAGATTTCGCTTGAAAACTGATATAATAAATCATTGTGAATGCATTGATTTACGTATTAACCACCGTACTTATGATCGCTTTATCATTATGACTGAGATTTATTTGTCCTGATGACGTTAATATACTGTAGCCAGGATTAATCAACTGGTGGCTGCAGGCCAAATTAAACTAGCCGAGGCCTAGTAGGTGGCCCCGGGATCACTGATAGCTGTGTTGTATTAATGATCTTTCTATTCTGGGACTAGCGCCTCTGGTCAGAAGTAGGCCCAGAAATTTTACTTTTAGACTATAAAAACAATAATGGCTATTGTTGGGAAGGGGAATCACCTTCCATAATGACATCAAGTAACGTTACTTCTGGTGATTGGATGTCCTGATTATTCATAAGTATTTGCAGACAATTTTTTAAAGAAGTAATCAAAATGTTGTTTGTTTTGTTTTGTTTTTAAAAACAAACGAAACTGTCTAAACACATCTTCAACAAATGAATTGATACACTGATTTACGAAAGCAATGTCTATGACCCTCCTTGGAGGGTCATGAAGGAGGAAGGAATATTGTCTTTTATTAATTGCTGGTATCATCCAGTTTCGTCCTTTTTAGGGCGACATTTTTTGTTATTTGAAGCCCCACCCTGGCTTTTGCCAGGGGCCGCAATATAGGCAGGCCATGAATATGGCCGAGTGTCTGAACGCGGTTTCTGGGACCTCTCCACGGCGATCCTCATCCGCATGATGGCACTTTGTGTCATCGGGTGTTCATCGCTTGTGTGATGTCCTGGTGGGGTAGAAAGTCAAGTCAAGTCAATTGTCTTTTTGGGCGAATATCAAAGAAAAATGTCAATGAAAAACATGATGCATATACAACAACAAAAGACCTATACTGGTGTGGACAAATACTGGAGCTGCTCTGTAAAAGTCTTTTGTCCACAATTTTAAGATTTATTGTGCATATAGTATACTAGCTGCAAATTTTATAGATCAAATAAAACTTCTCCCTCCCTACCTGCTACTCTCTCTTTTATTCTTTTTGTCTCTCATGTTTCTCTTGTTTTGTGGGAGCACGTGGATGAGTGTATGCATTTGTGTGTGTGCATATACAGACTTGTGAATGTGTGTGTACTTGTTCCCCTTGCACAAAGTCTTTCCTCCCTAGCCTATAATAAACAAGAATATAAACAACTCAATAACTGTATTTTATTACAAAGTTTTTGATTGACTGTTCTTCCCTTACAGGCCATTAAATGAAGGTCTAAATGGCAAACCAATAGGACACATCATGCATACCTCATTCTTCTTCTCATCTTCTTAGCACTCACCGGCTGTAAACTCTAGAGAGAAGCTATGGTAGTTAATCTACTTCAGAACTTTGGTCTTTTTAAAGGACTTGAGTTTTGGGTGAACATCATTTTACAGATCTGGCTTATTTGTATGCAGACTGTTGGTTTCAGCCTCTCAGGCAGATGCACTCTGACTTTGAAAGAAACATCCCTAATTAGTCGCCTTTTACGACATGCCTGTTAGGGGAGAATAGTGAGTCTATTCCCTCCCTCCCTCCCCCCCCCCCCAAAAAAAAACAGCGCCCCTGAAACCATCAGAGGAAGATACCTCATTCAAAATTACAGGATTTTATAACTCGTATACCCATGACAGCTAAATCGCCATAGTGTACCTTGCACATAATATGTGTATGTAAGGATAATATTAAAAACTTGTCCCAATGTGGGACAAAATCTTTCGTTATTTTAAGGCCCCACCCTGGCAGTAGTCAGGGGTCCTTATATATATAACCTAACGGTTGAACAGGGTGTCGAGGTCATGCAACAAAGGGGATCCTCATCCTTATGGTGGCACCTTGTATCATCAAATGTTGGCTGCTTGTTAAACAGTCCTGATGGGGTTAAACAACACACATAAAGATAATGTTGTATGGTTATAACATATGTGACTGCGGTTTAATATTTTTATTGTTTCATCTGTAAAGACCGGTTTTTTTTAATTTTAAAAAAAAAATATGTTTCTATAACTGCATTGCTGTTATATTAGCTTAGCCTAGGTTAACATTACAATTTACCTGTTGACAAGTTCTCTTCTTCAGAAACAACAGAGGCACAGCAACACACAGCACCCAGATAATGTTAACCAAGATGGGAGTGAAAACATGTGTATAAGTGTACAATCCAGATACTTGTGGCATACAGCCAAGGAGTAACATCCACCAGGATGACAGCAGGTCCGTTGGACACAGTACATTAACAAGGATCAGACTGGCAATCATGAGGCTGAATAAGGAGAAATAGGCATTTAACAAATATTAGATGTACCATAAGGGGATTAATATGGACAAAAAGGTAATTATCAATGATGTGTGTGTGTTTTGTGTGATGTGTGTTTTATTTGTTTTTTTTGTGTGATGTGTTTTCTTATTTTTTATTTCTTTTTTTTAATTTGCCATTTCCACAGTGGAGTTTGGCTGTGATGTATCTACAATGTAATTGGGGGAATATTACATGGTGAGGCCACAATCTCTTCACAGCACAACTCTTGTACCACCGTCTGAAAACTAAAAGAATGGTCGTTTTTTTTAAACCACCCATCAAGGAATGCAATGTGATCTATTCAACTAACCTCTAAGCCAAAAAGTCGCATAACAATGATTAGATGGGCTAGATGGATGAATACGGGAAAACAGGAAATATTGAAAAAAAAAAAAGAAACAGAAACATTTTTTTTTTATTACAATGGCTATTATGAGGCTAACTAAGGAGAAATGGGTAATGCCTAACATTTTAATTATCTATTCTTGTGTGGGTTCTGTAGCCCCGATATAAGACCCACAGCCCCCTAACAAGCGTGTCATAAAAGGTGACTTAATATGGGTGCTTCCTTCAAAGTCTGTGTGCATCTGCCTGAGAACCAACAGTCTGCATAAAAATAAGACAGATCTGTAAAATGGATGTGCAAACAAAAACTCAAGTTTTGATAGAAGACTAAAGTCCAGAAGTTGACAAATAACCAGAACTTTCTGCCGACGTTTACAGCCGGTCAACACAAAGAAGAATAAGAATAAGATGGCATATTTTAATTGTAACCTGGGAAAAACAGCTCATAACCTTGGATTCCTGAGAGAAAAAAAAATATATTTGTTCATGAAATTTAAACTTCGATAAGAACATCACAGACACCATTAAAGAACTTTATAAAGATGCAAGCAGTGCAGTAGTTATTCAAAATGACAGGCACATTTTTCAAAACCAATGTGGGACTAAGACAGAGTTGCATACTTCCCCCTGTCCCTCTCAATTTTAATTGGAACCCATATTGAGAGATACACTAGAAAATCAATGAACATCTATATCTATTGGCGAAAGACCACTATGTAATTTACGTTTTGCCAACGACATTGATCTCGTGGCTGGTTCCGAAGCAGAACTCCAAGAACTTACTTCAAATAATATGGCATGGAAATTAATGCAGAGAAAAGCAAGATTCTGGTAAGTAGCCAAAAAAATTAACTACCTACCAACGTACAGAAACAATTTAAAAAAACTATCTCGGCTCCCAAATATGTAATGATGGCAGCCATACAAAAATCAAGACAAGGCTTGATATGGCAACAGTTGCAATGTCCCAACTGAATTCAATGTGGAAGAAGAAAATTAGCATCGCAGTTAAGGTCAAGTTATATACATCACTGGTATTGTCTATTTTCTTATATGAATGTGAGAGTTGAACTTACTGTAGAAATGGAAAGGAGGATTCAGGTTTTCGAATGTAAATGTTACAGATGCATTTCACGAATTAGTTATTTAGAACACAAAACTAACAAATATGTCAGAGACAAAATAGACAAATTTGGAGGACATCAGGTGCCTCTCTTAGCAGTGGTGAAGCATCGCAAGCTAGCTTGGTTCAGGTACCTGGTGAGACATGATTCAACTGCAAAAACTGTACTTCAAGGAACACTAAGGGGTAGTCGAAGAAGAGGAGGACAAAGAAGACCTGTAATGACAACATCAAGAAATGGACAGGACCAAATTATCATTCACTTATTCAAGCAGAAGACAGAGAAAGATGGCGGGTTTTATGTGCTAGTGCTTCCATCGATACACCTCCAAGACCCTAAGGGGTCAAGAGTTATGTTATTTGTACAGGTCAGCAGTACCTACCAAATGATAGGTAGCTTCATATTTCCAAGTCACTGCATCACCATAAAAATTTAAGTTGTCAGTAAAGAGTCATTTTTACCCAATGCGCTAGAATTCATTACATATAGAATTACATTATTATATACCAATCGGCACTTGATGAGTGATGTTGTAAATATACGCCAGTGTTCCTTACTTCCATGGGCATTGTATGGTACCCATTTTAAGCTGGGTTGACCCAGGAGTCCAGATAAATTCTGAAATGCAGTTTCAAACCCAAGACTCTCAGCCCTGCAGGTGATATCCTAGTCACTAAGCAGCCTCGGCTCACACACTAAGAGATTAAAATTTGTATATCCAAGTCATACCTTTCCTGATTGTTCTCTAAATTAACTGATATTTTTAAAGTCTGACACTTATCAAATGTACTTGTACACACCAAACGAACTGAAAAGTGTATGATGAAAGACATTTTGCAGCATCCCTTGTTGGAGCCTTCTCATCCACATAACTTTGCAGAAACATCTGGTCTTCCTCAGACAGAAGTTGTGATGATATAAGCCACTTTAGCATGTCATATCTGTGATAATTGTGCTGGAAGAATATTAAAGACATGCTATAAATTTATCATGATAAAATAGAATAAAATCCATTATTTATATATCCAAATATACAAAAACTTTGTTTTTACTTATTTAAAAAAAAAAACATACAAGCTTTGAGTACTGTCATAAGCATACATAAAGGAACTTTGAATAAAAACCTTAAAAGTGTTATAGAAATTACAATAATCATGCCACTGTCTTGTAACCTATCAATATTGTTGCTAAGGTGGCCAGGAGTCTTAAGCATATGGCATCACAGTGCATACAAACACAGTGATGTATTAGTGAAAGTTTAAAAATGGCCACCCCACTTTTGACATGCACCAAAGAAGAGCAGCATTTTATAACCTACTTTTGATAGCTGAAAGGGTGAAACTTACAGAAATTCATCGGCAAATGAAGGTCCAGTACAGTAATGAATGCCTGTCACTCTAGCAATAGTTAAAAAGTAAAAAGAAAAAGTAAATTTCCCTTTTCCACACCTTTAGGCGTATAGGGCATACAGGGCTAGACCTATATTTTTTTAAACCAATCAGCACAAGATGGGTGATGTGGTCGGCATCACGCCAGCCTCCTTTACTTCCCGGGACTGCACCCCGTACCCACTCAAGACTGGGTCGAACTGGGAGTCAAGGTCATTCCTGAAAAAAGTCTGGCTCCGCCAGGGAGCGAACCCACGACCTCCCAATCCACACTCGAGTGTCTAGCCGCTAGTTAGTTTTCATATGTGAGATCTTCAAGGGCTGCAATCAACTTTGGGGTCACTATTCAGCATGCCACCGTCATCAGGTTGAGCACATCAATCATTGAGTGCCAACTGATCTATACAAATACAGGTCTAGCACTATATGCCCAACCCAATGCACCAAAGGAGTTAAAAGAGTCCATCACTTACTTTCCTTATTACATGGTATGTTTTTCCTATGTCCTCATGATCGGTTTGCCCATTCAGAGGGAATGGCAAACTACTAAATGTAAAATTACCTAGTAAAATTTGAAACAGCCAAATAAATGTTGGGGTTGGTTTTGCAATGTACAGTAAAAAAAAATGCAATCAACATTTTGTTGTATTAGGTCATTTGTCACATCAGCTTGACAGCAGTCAATGGCCTATTTCTAATATCTTCAAAATAAATGGCCTGAGATGACATGAAGGTAAAATGTAAAGGTAGCTAATGCTGCCACTGGAATGTGCAATTTAGGCCTTCACTAATTCTAGGTCACTGCTTATGAGCTGAGACAGCCAGTTTCCTTTCCCACTGTCTTGCCTTAGTAGACAATTTACAAAAGATGATGAAAATTACTGGTACATATTTCTGAGGTTAAGTCAACTCTAAAGCGCTAGAGGACCCTACTCTTCAGGCATACTGGGCATAGAGTGCAAGAGCTATATTTTTAGACCAATCGGCACTCAGCTGGTAATGTGGTCAGCATCATACAGGCCACCTTTACTTCCCAGGACTTTACCTGGTATCCACTTAATGCTGGGTCGACCTGGGAGCCGAGGTAATTCATTTAAAATTTTTTTTTTTTATCATTCGGATTTACATTCAGATCTGCAGGAGAGGGTCTAGCGGCTACTCTATAGCACCTGTCCTCCAGAGCTGTACTGGTGTAAACAACTCCTGCAACTTCTCTATAGCACCTGTCCTCCAGAGCTGTACTGGTGAAAACAACTCCTGCAACTTCTCTATAGCACCTGTCCTCCAGAGTTGTACTGGTGAAAACAACTTCTGCAACTTCTCTATAGCACCTGTCCTCCAGAGCTGTACTGGTGAAAACAACTCCTGCAACTTCTCTATAGCACCTGTCCTCCAGAGCTGTACTGGTGAAAACAACTCCTGCAACTTCTCTATAGCACCTGTCCTCCAGAGCTGTACTGGTGAAAACAACTCCTGCAACTTCTCTATAGCATCTGTCCTCCAGAGCTGTACTGGTGAAAACAACTCCTGCAACTTCTCTATAGCACCTGTCCTCCAGAGCTGTACTGGTAAAAACAACTCCTGCAACTTCTCTATAGCAGCTGTCCTCCAGAGTTGTACTGGTGAAAACAACTCCTGCAACTTCTCTTTAGCACCTGTCCTCCAGAGCTGTACTGGTGAAAACAAATCCTGCAGCTTCTGGGAATTGAAGCCAGACCACTGTTTTGACAGACAAGCCCATTAAACACAGCTCTGTCTTGACATAAATAAAAGTTAAATCTGAGCCCAGTGCTTCTTCTCAAGGTTTTCTAGCTATAGAGGACAACTTGTCTAAACAGTGTGTTTATATATATTGTGATACTGATGTTAAGAGATACAGTATTCAATTTTAGAAGATGTTAGGGGCACAGTATACTTTGTTTCCAGACTGTATTCTATACTGTATTTCTTCTAACTATGTTGGAGCAGTTGAAGTTTGTACCCAAGTACCTGTATTTTTCCTTTTTTTTTTAAACTTTTGTAATCTATTTGTACAAGGCCAGAGTTGTTATTCTTCCCCTCCCTTGCCCTGTCGTTTCTTGATCGATAACTAGACCAGTTTTTGAAGCTGTTTTCTTTAACTGAGTCAATATTTTCACTGTCTCTAGTTCACTTTCTGTGACTTTGTTTTCTGCATAACCAATTATTATTGTTGCTTTTCCTAAAGCACAATCTTCTTTTATCTTTCTTATAATTTTCTCTAGAGTGAAGTTGAAAAGAAGCGGAGCCAGGATATACCCTTCAACTTTCTCAGTACCAAGCAATGCATAACAAATGTATTGCAGTGTCTGAGGACAATGTCATCTTCTTGCTGCCTTCTAACAAGGACAAATGTTTGATTAACCCTTTGTATCTGAATTCTATTTTAACGAATTCTGTCCCACAGTGTCACTGTTGTACTCCTTCAGACCTAAGTATTTACTACCTTTTAAGCTCAACTCTGAGATATAAAGAGTTAAACATCTGTCTGGTACTGAACAATTCAATCAGACATTTGAAAAGGGTCTGATTTTATGCCTTTATAAGTTCTCATGTAAGAAATAAAAATAGAAACGTACCACTTCTTCTATCACTTTTTCAGTGTAGAAAAGCCTATTAAAAAGATTTGAATGCAGTTTACAAGACTTGTTTGTCTCAGTAACACTAGACAATCTGTTAGTTTCTCTAGATAACTCTGGTCCTTTGAAGGAATCTGCTTCCAACTGTAGTCTAGGTTCTGTCTGCAGGTTACAGACACCAATATCCATAAGTGCTTGATGTAAAACAGAATTCTGAAATCAATGGACCCATGATAAGCATACATGTGGTGAAACAAAGCGTTGAATAAATGATTACAATCAATCACAACATAATTAACACAGGCAACTGCGAAGAATATCACATCTCTGGAATTGAAATTATATAAACAGATGTTAAGAATATCTTTTAGTGAAAGAAATGCCAACTATGAAGTGTTAAACACACAAAACAAAAATAAGTTAGAAAACAAAAACATAAGGACATGGAAACTCCCATTTGTTCACCCTTGTTCAAAAAGGCTCAGTGTTAACCAACTACTCAGAGACCAGGTGAACAATGTAGTATTTATTTCTATATTCAGACCCAGTGTTTGTCTAGTTATTAGGCAGACATCCTCCCATCAAGTAATCCTAATTTCCAACATACTACTGACCACACAGTGACCTTCGGACTGTTTTACTCATTCATTCATTCAGTAGCATGTCCCTCGAGGAACCTCGCTGCCATAACAACCCTCCGGAAAACCTTCCTATCCTGAGCAAGATGTCCTGCGTCTGATACACCCATCTGGAGATCATCTGCCACATCCTGCACCCATCTTCTCCTTGGCCTTCCTCTTCCTCTCTTCCCAGGCATATACCCCTCCATTATTGTTCTCTCTAGACTTCCATGACGTTTCAAGTGACCAAAATATTTCAATTTTCTTTGTTTTATTGTCTTTACTAGCCAACCCTCTTCAATATTCAGCTCTTGAAGTATGGATGCATTTGTTCTTTTCTTTACCCAAGATATTCTTAGAACCTGTCTGTAACATTTATATTCAAATGCATTTATGCGCTGTTCCGCTTGTTTAGTAAGTGTCCAGGTCTCACAGGCGTATGTTGCAATGGGAAAGATGCATGCTCTTAAAAATCTGACCTTTGTAATTCTATCTGTACAATTCCATAATTTATTCAGTTGTTTTAGTCTTTGAAGAGCAATTGATAGTCGCCATTTAATTTCTTTCATTGTGTCACCATTGTTGGTAACCAGTGACCCAAGATATTCGAAATTTTCCACCACTTCCAATCTTTCCTCATTAACATATATTTCCTTCTCCATGGCAGTTTTGTTTGTATGCATTATCTTTGTTTTTGCTATGTTAAGAAATAAGTTATGATTTTCACTATTTCTTTGGAGTGAGGTTAATAAGTTTTCTAAACCATTTTGTGATGTTGATAGTAATACTGTATCATCAGCATAACGAATTTCTGGTATTTCATGACCACCGATGTTTAGGGCATCATATTGTTCCTTGTTTATATCATCTCTTACATTTCTCATTATATTTTCGGCATACAGGTTGAACAAATACGGTGACAGCACACATCCCTAACGGACTCCTTGCTTGATGCCAAACCAGTCTGATGTCTCTCCATCTATTCTGACTGCTGCTTGTTGGTCTTGATAGAGCATTTTAATGAGCTGCACTATTTGTGATGGAAAAGCCCATATTCCTCATGATTTCCCAAAGCTTCTGATGTTGTACACAGTCAAATGCTTTTGAATAATCCACAAAACATAAGAACAGATTTACATTAAATTCTCTACACTTCTCTATTATTAAACGCATGTTGAATATATGATCTCTTGTTCCTCTTCCCTGTCTAAATCCAGCCTGAGCTACATTAATCTCTTCTTCCATTTTCTTATGCAGTCTTCTCATTATAATTTTTAGTAGAATTTTACTTGCATGACCGATCAGGGCAATAGTTCGATAGTTTGTACATAATTTCAGGTCACCCTTTTTTGGTATTGGAATGAAGATAGTTCTCTTCCAGTCTTTTGGCCAAATACCATATTTCCATATCTTTTCACATAATGCATGATAGATTTTTATGCTTTCTTCTCCTCCCGCTTTAATCAATTCAGCTGGTATCTCATCACATCCAGGTGATTTACCATTTTTCAGGCTCCTTATTGCCCATGAAATTTCATCTAATGAAGGTTCAGGTTCTGCCACTACTGTTACTGGTTCATGTATATCATTCATATCCTCACTGTCATTCATATCATACATTCCGCTGCAGTATTCCTGCCATCTTCCTAGAATTTGTCTAGATTCTGTTAAAGTATTTCCCAACCTGTCACAAATAACATTTAACTGAGGTTGAAAATTTCTTGTCAATAACTTCATTTCCTTGAACATTTCGTAATCTCTTCCATTTTTATGATGCTGCTCTATTTTAATACAGCAATCTTGTACATACTGATTTTTATCCTTTCTTGTGTACTTTCTTATTTCTCGTGTTAAAAATTTATACTTCATCCTACTGTCATTGGTTTCTCCTTTCTTTTTTCAGTTCCCTTCGTTGTTTTATTAGTTCTAACGTGTATGGTGTGATCCATGGTTTATGTTGCTTAGTCCTGGTGGGTATTAAGTCTTTAGCTGCTGTTATCAAGATATCCCTAGCTTGTACCGCCAGTTCATCAGGTGTCATTTCCTCTTGTACAGACATCAAGACCTCAAAACGGTTCTTCACTTCTACGTTGTATGCATCTGGTATTTTTGTGAGATCAAATCGAAATGGCCTTGGTCCTCGGGTAAGTTTTTTGAGTTTTAATTTCAGATCTGCTTCTAGTAACTGATGATCTGTATCGCAATCTGCACTTCGCAGGGTTTTTGCAGATGTTATGCTCGATCTCCATCTTCTTTGTTTTACTGTTTTACTGCATACTTCAAATGTGCAAAATATTGTTTAGGTTTAGTTTAGGCTTAGATTTGTATCAACATAAAACTATATATCTATATAAACTTTTACACCTGGTTTTATTAAAAAGGGTTGCAATCTGAATCTGGCACTTTGTTCCTCTTTATTCACTTGTGTACTATATGTATTACAGGTGGGCATTCCTTTTATTGAGTGCTGAATTCAGAATCGACATCACAGCACTCGGGCCACTCCCATAAGTGTTCAGTCCCCCATCTTCAGCAGCAAGCGAAGAGTTCAAATTCCAATGGTGCCAGTAACCACCTGATTGTATGTATATCCATCTCATCCTTCCCCTGAGTGTTGAGCGTCGGCCAAATCCCCTGGTAACTCCTAGGCAGGGCCATTCTCCTCAGACCGAAATGATCCATCTGCACCAATGCACTGTTCACCCGTTCCCAAAGGGCCCTCACAATATCTAACTATACATCAATTCACCACCAAGTGGTGCAAAGCCAGCCAGTCTATCTGCCTGCTAATTTTGCAAAACACCGGCATAACCAGAAGAAAATATCCAAAGGATGCTAACTACACTCTTAGCATTCCTTTTAAAAAAGCATTCCTTTTAAGCTGGGAAGGTGTGTTTTTTTCCGTCTGGTTATGGTTGGTGCAACACACTGAGCTGTGTGTTTCATGTAGAATGCTTCAAGTCAATGTCTACAATGATTTTGTCACGATATTCAGAAAATTCAAAATGGCTTGTGGCCAGTATGTGTTTGATCTGACCAAGTGTTTTATGCATTAATATTTGATGTGTACACCAACTTGACATGACCGACGGTGTCCATCAAAGACAAATTGCAATTCTGGTAGCGATGATTAGCACTGGCAGCTCTAGCGGTTTCCTTACTGTATGTGAACTTTTCTGCATTTTGCTAGAACTAACTGTTTATTTACTAGTTTTCAAATGTTACAGGAGAGTGCGACCGATGGTGTGATTTTCACTGGCACATGAGCAAATGGGCCCTTTTGCTCAACTGCTCTGAACTTGTTCCTCCAGTATGGTTTTATAAAAGTTGTATGTCTTTTAACTCTTTGAGTCCCAAGGAATGCATCACCCGCTTATTGATTACACCCCAGTCGCCCAATCAGCATGTGGCCGGTACTATTTTTAAATTTACCACTGGCTAGCATAACAAGGCAAACCAGCAGTTCTGAATAGTATTTGTGTTCGATGTCACACGTGTTGTCCATTAGGCTTATTCGGAAACGTGGTTAAAAGTATAAAATGTAGCATGTTTGGGAGCTTTATCGAGTTATTAAGTGTCTGTGTGAAAACAATATGGCCTCCGAGCAGACTTCTTCATGCATGCCAGCAAGTTGTATGACTTTAGAAGCCTCACATTTAAATAAAATATGCGTTTAGCAGACTTAACCAAAGCAGATAAAGAGAAAGTTATGAAGCAGACTTGTTTTAGTCATGGATAGAGTCAAACTTTGATGAGCAATGGCTCTGATATATACTTTATGTAAAGTGTGCAATAATAACAAAGTCAGCTGGTACGCATACAAAATATACAAGTGAAAAGGGCAATATTCTTCGTCAGTTAAGTCTAGTGTGATTCCATTATTATTGGAGAACACCAGCTATAAAACTATGGGCAAATTGAGTGTTATATAAAGTTTGTTTTTTGTGAAAATACTAATTAATTTTGGAAGTCATTCTTTTACAGAAAAAAATGGTGATCTGCTATGTATGATGTTCTAAACGTTTCTCTGGAACAAGATCCAATGGACAGATTGTGTTTATATTATATTTACAGATTACTAAGTGGTTCATGTTCATTTGTCAGTTATATTGGAAAGATCGTACAGAGTTTTCCTTTATTGCCATGGCAGTAAGTATAAATATTATTATTTCGTTTTACTAATTTTTCTAAACATACCATTTGTTTTTTGGTTTTTTTTTACTAATACTTAACTACTAACACAATTTATTTTTGTAGCAGTATTCTAATATTACTCCTCAACAATTTCTTCTCACTTTAATGCATAATATATGTATGTTGTATGGCAGCTGCATTAGTATGGTCTGTTTTAATGTGTTATCCTTGTGACATTTAAAAACTGCATTACCACTCCTTGGGACTCTGGCGCTCAACCCCCTGGGACTCAAAGAGTTAATATGTTACTTGTTTCATTTTGTATTTCCTTCAGCAACTATATTTTCATTCCAAATTCCTCCAGAACTTCTGTATCTGATGTTACACACATAACATTAGCTATCTACACATACACTTATTCTAGGGGTTTGTGCACTGTGCTGAGATTATCACTTAGTGTGATCTATGTGAGGGAGTCTGGAGTACAAGATATTCTTTTCAATAATCCCTTTTCTTCATCTTTACAAATGTGGCTTGGGGGTTGTAAATTCAATCAGTTTGATAACAGACCACACTGTGTCAATTTTTACAATTTTATGAAAGCTGTATGGTGCAGAACCAGTAACTGCAAAAGTGAACTAACTGAACAATGTCTTGGAAGCTCAACGGGGATAGGAAGATAAACTACTCTGTTTCTGTTTTTTCATTGCCCCTTTTTTGAGTTTCTTAGACAACGTGAACCTATTTTTAATAACAGCTTGCCTGTAGCCACCTCTATTTTCCTAACTTTTGAGCGTAAATGTGACTGATAAAACCACACAACAGCAAATTATCAATAATAAAGTGTGGGGTTGGTTTGCAAAGTCCTGAAGAGGACATTCAGGCTATCCTCTGAATAACAGTTCCAAATTATCGAGGCTAAGAAAACAGGGCTCAGTTATATGTAAATTGTGGACCTCTTTCCGGCGACTATACCGCCACCGCCAAGAGTAGTGGAGGGGAGGGGCGAAACAGGATGGCTGGGACTCACAAGCAAATAAAATGGAAGAAGCTGCAGGAGATGCAGTAGCTGCTGCTCATGAGTCCCAGCCATCTAGTTTAGCATCCCTCCGCACGTAGCGGCGCGGGGGAAACTCTCGGTGGTGACTTTGACTCGGAGGAAGCTTTACCACGATATGCGGTATAGTTGCCGGATAGAGGTCCACAATTTACAACTGAGGCCATGTTAGGGTATCTTAGCCTCCATAATTTTGGACCGTTATTCAGAGAAATGCTGGCATGCAACTAACAAAATTTATAAACAAGACTTACCTCAAAAATAAGATCTTCGTCCTCAGATTCCATAGTAGAGATGATTTAATTGTATAACGTACTAAGTTAAAATAACCTGTAGCACTTGTCTTATTATTATGTAGAAAATAAAGCAAACAATGACATTTATGTTACTATTGGTATCTTTTGAAAAAGTCGCAGTACGGAGTTTGTAGTTTTAATTTTAAGTTGTAGCTTTGCTTTTTTAGCAACTGGAATTAGAAATTATGCGACACAACGAGTACTTTTAAAAGTGGGTCACTGGAAACATTATTGGAGTCTCTCAATCAGTTACTGGCAATATTTGTTATTTAAATTGGTAAACTTGGGCAGTCATCACGAACGAAGCTCGGTGTGGTTGCTAGTTGATAGTTGATTCATGATGATTGTTCCCAATGAATTCCAATCCGGTGCCTGCCTTTAGTTTTACATTCTTATGTTTTCTAGGTTGTCCTATACAAAAATACTTCTATCCCTTCATCGTCTATGGATGCAAACCAATACCCATTGATTTACTAATCCAATGTTTTATAAAACACCCATAGACACAGTAAGTAGTAAATTTAAGTAAACACTACACTCTCGTGGTATTTTGTTGTCTGCAACAAAATATTCTAGGGACAAGTAACTCTGGTGAAAACAAACAGCATTATTTCCCTGGGAACTATTCCTCAGTCTTTGCAGGCCGAAGAGCGGCCGTGGTGTGGTGGCTAGACGCTCGCCTGCGGATCGGAAGTTTGTGGTATCAGTTCATGACTGAGTCCGACTCTTCAAAAATAATCTTGGCTAACAGGTCGACCCAGTCCTAAATGGGTACCAGGTTAGATCTTGGAAAGTAAAGATGGCCGGGGTGATGATAACCACACACCCACCAAGTCTATAAAATATAGGTTTATCCCTATATACCCAGTACGCCTTAAGGCGTAGAACATGAAAGTTTTCGTTTATGTATATGTTATTTAAAATATTTTTTTTTAAATTTCATTATATTATTATTGGCACTTAAACAAAGCTTATGTCCTTGAGTCCCCTGCTTCGTAAATGTGTAAGCGGGATGGGCCCCGTTTCGTTTCATCCGTTCCTGGGTCATAAGATTAGCTATGACTTTGAAATAAAACTTAAAACTGTAATCTGTGTGTGTGTGTTTTTTTTTTTTTTTTTTTTTTTTTAAGTTTTAACTTTACGCTTGCCTTAACCGTCAATAATTACTGCAGAGGAACGAAACTCCGACTCTACAAAAGCATCATTTTGCCAGTTCTTCTTTGTGGAGCTGAATGCTGGAGAATGACCAAAAAGGATGCTCAAAAGCTGTCCACCTTCCACCACACGTCTACGTAGAATTATCAAAATTTTCTGGCCAGATAAATCTCAAACACTAAACTACTTCAAGTCACAAACCTAGAAACTTTAGGCAGTATGATAACCAAGAGAAGATGGAAATGGCTTGGGTACGTTATGAGAATGAATCCTGATATACCTGCCAAAACAGCTCTCTCATGGACACCAGAGGGAAAGAAAAAAAACAGGGGCGCACAAAGACAACATGGAGACGAACGATGGAAAGTGACCTGAGTGCGGCATCTTTGACATGGAAAACTGCACTGAAGATTGCACAGGACAGAAAAGCATGGAAAGTCCTCTCTGAATCTTCAAGTGCCACTAGGCTTAACGAGAACTGATGAAACCGTCAATTATATTTATTTGTATAAGTCAGTAATTATACTTACCTAACTGAAAACCAATAAACGCACCTGATACATTTAATAATAAAACGTCCAGTAATGCAATTGATAATCGTGGTTGAAGGCTCAACCGTGGGCTTAAGGAACATCCAAGACCTAAATCAGGTGGCAACGAATCACCAGGCATGGAGAGCTATGACCTCTGCCCTATGCGCCACCTTAAGTTCAAGAGGAAATACTAACTAACGAAGTAACTAATGTAACTGATATACAGATATTCTTAATGACTGCAGAAGTTGAGGATGCAATACATCATATGAAGAAAGGAAAAGAACCCGGACCAGACAACATCTCACTGGAAGAAATCGAAGCGCTGGGACATTTTGGAATTGAAATGATAACTAATTTTTTTTACATGATTTTATAATAGTATGTATATTCTAAATGACCTTTTAAAATCCATATTTATAGCTCTGCTTAAGAAACCAGGCACTAATAAATATGAAGACCATCGCACAATAAGTCTTATGAGTCACATGACTAAGATTTTACTGAGAATAATTATGAGAAGAATAAGAAACAAAATTAAACCAGAAATCAGCGATGAACAATGTGGATTTGTAGAACGAAGAGGTAAAAAACAATGCCATATACATGCTAAGGACGTTGTCAGAAAGAGCTATAGAAGTAAAGACTGATTTGTACATATGCTTCATAGACTATACAAAACCATTTGACTGTGAAGTAATGAAGCATGAAGAAGTAATCAAACTGTTAGAAAAATTAAACATTGATGGGAAAGATCTACGAATAATAAAGAATACTTATTGGCAGCAAACAGCAGCTATAAGAATTAACAACTGTTTAGGTACATTTCAAAGCATAAAGAGGGGCGAACGACAAGGATGTGTACTGTCACCTGATTTGTTTTCAATATACAGTGAATATATAATGAGATCTTTAAGTGGTATGCCCGGAATTGTGGTTGGTGGGCACAATATAAAAAATTTACGTTATGCTGATGACACAGTCTTGATAGCAACAAGTCAGAAAGAACTACAGGAATGATAGACATTGTGGTCTTAGAAAGTGGAAGAATGGGCCTCAGTTTGAATAATTGGAAGACAGAAGTAATGGTGGTATCAAAGAAACGAATTATTCCTAAGTGTTTAATAAAAGTTGATGGTGTTATTTTAGAAGAAGTACAGAAATCTAAGTATTTGGGCACATGGATAACATCAGATGGAAGATGCATAACTGAGATAAGAAACATAATAGGACAGGCAAAAACTGCATTTTATAAAATGAAAAACATCTTGTGCAATATATCCTTGTCATTAGGAGTTGGAAAAAGAATTCTTGCTTGCTACATACATCCAGTTTTAACATATGACTGTGAAGCCTGGACAATCGGTAGGCAGGCTTAACAATTTCTAGAGGCCTCAGAGATGTGGTTTTACAGAAGAATGCTTAGAATACCTTGGACAGCCAAAAAGAGCAACCAAGAGGCTTTGAAAGAGGCGGGAGCCCGAAGACAACTTATCACAGACATCAGAATGAGACAGTCATCATTTTTCGGCCATGTTATAAGAAGAGGGAAAATAGAACATGTTGTGACCACTGGAAAGATCTGTGGAAGGAGAGATAGAGGAAGACAACGAGAGAAGATGCTTGACAGTCTTGTTGCATGGCATGAAAGTGTGTCGGCACACGAACTGATGCATGCTGCAGGAGATCGCAGATTATGGAGAGGCATGATCGCCCACGCCAGTCGGCAAGGCACCTGATGATGATGATACAGATATTCTACTATTTATGTCTTAGTCTGTAAATTCTTTCAATGTTTATCTATTCTTTTGCAACAGCCACAGGGACCCCGGTAAAGATTTCATATTTTTGTGAGATCTGGCAAATGGCCCCGCTCCCGCTGAACTTTTTCATAAGATCTGCTTATGATGTGTTACCCTCTGGCGCCAACATGGCCAAATGGCGTGAGACCGCTGACCCGACATGTTCCTCGAGCAGAGCTATGCAGACGCTCGAGCACGTATTGTCCGCGTGCAGAAAAGCCCTAGGCCAGGGACGATGTACATGGCACCACAATAAAGTCCTGAAAGAGTTAGAGAACATTGTGGATCAAGCCAGATGAGGGCCAAAGCGATGATTAGTCCTAGCGTCCCCCTGTGCAAGAGACTGGTTACTGGCGGTCGACCTGCTGGTTTCGAGAAATACCCTAAATCAATCCGAAAGACCGCCCTGAGACTAGACATGGTTCTGCACTATGCAGAAAAACGCCAGCTCATCCAGGTATAGCTTAACGTTCCGTACGAGTTGCGGATGGAAGAAAACATCTAAACAAGTTCGACAAGTATAAAGATCTAGTGGCCAGTCTGAGAAGCGATGAGGCGTACACAGCAAAACTCTTGACCGTCGAGGTAGGCGCAAAAGGACTTATCTCCACTTCCACATTCAACGTACTAAAGAATTCGGGCTTGCGAGGAAAACAGAGAAAGCGGACATTAAAACAACTGGGTGAGGCTACTGATAGAGCTTCGAGCTGGTTGTGGACCCAACAGAACTATGTGGTGAATAGGCCTCGGTAGACTAGCCCGAGCCTAAATGTCCGAGTAACGTCTGCCAGTGTCTGTTTGCCAACTTGCCAAAGTCTAACGTCTGTCCGATACACCAACCGTCCACTTGTCACTCTGGTCTTGAAGGTAGTCAGCTAATTTGCTACCGCAGCGACAAATATATAACACCAAACCTCACAATACCTGTTGCAAAGCCACATTTTCATCTTGTATAACGTCCATTAAGAGCAGATTTCCGTGGCCTGGCGTCACGAACCTTGCCGGCTCACCCTCCGAGATAGTCTAGGAGGATAATGGGCAGAAAAAAAATTGTCGACGACCCACCTTCTGATGAACGGTAGATTCCTGCTGTGCATGCTACCCTGTGGAGTTCTCCTTACAATCCGCACTCTATTTTTCATGTGGTCAGCAAAACGCCACTTGCCTGTAATTCCCATTACTTTATATGGTACCCATTTGAGGCTGGGAGCCAATGTCATGTTTGAACAAAATCCGGATTCATGCAGATTTATACCCTGACCTTCGGATCAGCGGACGAGTGTGTAGCCGCTACACCACGGTGGCTCCCCGGAAACATAATACCGAACATTATTTACTATTTGCAAAAAAATTATAATTGATATACATAAATATCCATTATAGGACTAGACTACCACCCCCCCCCCCCCCCCCCCACCCACCTCCCCCCTAAAAAAAATATATCTACCAAATATAACCAAATGGATTGCATAGGATAGTGCGTTTTAAATTACCACTACTA